GCGAGCCTACCTGTTGCAGCAGAGAGATGTTCCAGCCCTAGACTCCCAGGTGGGATCCGAAAGCTTAGAGCAGTTCTGGGGTGGGTGAAGGAAAACCCCAGCAGATCCATTACAGTTTGTGTAAAGTCTCCTCCGTTTGCCAGCCTTGGAGATCAGGAAATAGGGACTATTTATGCTAAACTGAAAGGCTACAAATACAGATTGAAGGGACAGATGGATTCATAAAGGCTGTTAGGCAGATGGCCAAAGGGATGTGCATCTACCTGGATAAAGCCAAGCTTGGGCAGCCAGGTATTGCAGGGGGGGGGAGAGGCGTGTGAGCTGTTGATCTGGTTGGCCAGCATCCTTGCAGTGTGTTGCTATGCAGCAACAGGGATGTTTTTCCTACGCTGGAAAAGGGGAGAGCTTCTCCTCTCTCAACCTTTCTCTCTCTCTTTCCCTCTCTCTTTCTCTCTCTCTCTCTCACACACACACACAGACACAGAGGCTCTGCCAGATCCCTTCCTCTTGAAATACCAATTCTGCAGATTTGTGTAAGGAAACTCCCCAAGTGCTCCTTGAAGGCATCTATCTGCAGGACAATGCTGCAGATATTTAGTAGTTCTACGTGCGTTGCTGTCCAAAGCTGCTGCTTCTCCTGGATGGCGAGAGAGAAATGCTGTAAAAAAAAATCCTTCCATTTGGAGAGGCCACAGATTTCCCAGACCCTTTTTGCTCACCCAAACTCGGGAAGGGAATCTCTTCGGTGGAGAATTTGGGCACTCTGAGAGTATCTTGTGAGCGTTCTCGGAAAATGGTGCAAAATAACTCCTGAAACAAAAGCAAGGTGCAGACGTTTCATCCTGCCTCTTAGCTTCTACTGCCCAAACCCTGAATGTGGATTAGTTGACTTTGGTGAGCGTGATAGAAGAACTTGGCCTCTGTGGCTCATGACTTTAGTTGTATATGTTAAGTTCTGGATCAATGGGGCTTCTTCATCCAATAATGGTTTAATGCAATGTGTGAAGCTTGTCTGTTCCATCTTCTGCGGTGGAAACAGGATGGAGACATCACAACTAGAAAGGTTGAGGGGGATGGCTCAAGGACAATCTTTAAGGATCATTTTAAGGGTCAGTTGAGCAGGGGACAGTGAAGAAAGACAGCGACCTTCTAAAGTGGGAACCCAATAAACCCTTGCATTGGACTGGACAGTGTTTTCAACCTTGGCCACTTGAAGATGTTGTGGACTTCAACTCCCAGAATTCCCCAGCCAGTCCATGGTTGAAGTCCACAACCTTGAAGTCTGGGAGTTGAGGTCCACCACCAAGTAGTCAAGGTTGAAAACCCTGGGACTTGGGAATCATTGGTTCTGAGGTTCCCCCATATGTGGAAATTCCAGCAGCCATTGACCACCTCTCCTCCCTCCCAACTGATCTGGGGATCCCCCTATAATCCTCTCCCTCTTTTTCTTTCCTCTATTTCAGGGTTCAGCTCCCATCCTAGTCGTCATGGTGATCTTGTTAAACATTGGAGTCGCCATTTTGTTTATTAACTTTTTCATCTAAACCGAGACTGTCTTGTTTGCAAAACTCCAACCGGTTAATAATTAATTAATAAAAAACAACAACAACAAAAAAAACCCGCCCCCAAGCGGTCTGAAAATGGGGATAATGCTGCGAGAGACCCAACGGGAGAACGATGTCGTCGTTTTGAACTGTCCCGCGACAACTTTCAAGTCTTTTCACCACCGATTGAGTCTCACTCACAGTTTGCCTTTTTTCCCCCACCCCACCCCGTCCCCTTCCTAGGTAATGTTTTGGATTTTAGCCCAAAATTCTTTGCTTGCACAATCCTTTTGCTGTGTGGCATGGCAGAATGGTAGCAGCAGCATTCCCGCCCCTCCCAGCACCAGACAGGACGGAAAGCGTTCCTCCGAGTGGATTTAGCCAGATCTAGGAAAGTGGTTTCACATGAATTGCCTCCATCTTCAGACGTTTCATTCAAGGCAACGTTTGGAGAGATGCGGCGGTCCTGGCATTGCTTGGTGATATGCAGGGTGGGGTCCTTTGAGAAAATCCCAGCGTGACCCCGGCATTCACATTGAGCTGGGAAAGTCTGAGCGGCCCAGAGAACGGCCCGAGCAGATGGCACTCAAGGGGTGATGCTGATGGTCGAGATCCATTTCTTGAATCATTTAAACAGCCATATCCAGCACAAAAGTCTTAAGCCCTTTCCCCCTCGTCGTCCAAAATACTTTTTCCATCCTATGAGTTAAAAATCATTCCTTGTCCCAGGCGACAATAGAAAATTATTTATTTATTTGTCAAATTTATTGGCCACCCGTCTTACCAAAGTTTTGCATAAAGTCACCTGCAGGATGCTGAGGCTCAGGTAAAAATCCTGTATCTATAAACTGCACCCTTTTCTTTTTTTTCCTCTTTTTTTTTTTTTTCAAATCTCATTCGACACATTTTTTTCATCCTTTCCGGCAGGTGTTTAAAATAAACGCAGAAAAGTTTTGTTTTGTTGTGAAAGATGACCAAGGTTTTCCAGGAAACGCATCCTCCAGAATTGCCAAGGAGTCGGCCCCCCTCTCTATGGGGAACGATGCTTGAATGTTTCCCCCACCCCCCAAGAGCCACCGTGGCACCGCGAGGAACGGGGCGCGACGGGCATCCCTTCTTCCATCTTGCCATGAGCCATTTCCAGATGTCCTGCTTGGCCTCGGAGCATGTAATAGTTTTGCATTTTGTCTGCAGGATGTATATTCCAGCTTCCGACATAATCCCTGTACAAAAAAAGGAAAAAAAACAACAACCACAACCAAAACTAGAGAACAACAACAACGAAAACATTGTCAACAACAGCCTCTGAGTATGTAATGCTCTTTTTATAATTTGTTTTCTCTCCTCTATGTATCACTTAATTTTGGTATGGTTCAAAACATCTTTATAAGATGCCTGCGTTGTTCTTCTTTCTTCTTCTTATTTTGGGGGGCGAGGTGGGGTTCCTCGATCATTCACTGAAAATACACCTTCGTTACTAGGGAAGCAGCAGTGCCCTTTGAGTTTCTGTTCTATGGGGGGAAAGGCACAATATTGGTTGAGCTCTCTTCAACCAATCGGTGGGTCAAGAGTTGAGAAGGCAGCCGGGACCCTCCGTCAAAGCTCCAGCCGTTTTCCATGTGCATTGCCTCTAAAGCCCAGGCAAATCTCCATTCAGGTCTAATGGATGTTCATTCGGGTGTAATGCACAGCTTCGTTTCTAAAAGTCTGTAGAGATTCTCAGTCATTCAGGTCATGGTTGTCCCAAAGGTGCTTTTTCAAGAGGCAACTGGACTTCGTTTTTTTTCTTTGAAGAAGTTTCCTTTCTCATCCAAGAAGCTTCTTCAGCTCTGACAGGATAGTGGGGAATGGAAGGATTTGTATCCCTTGCAGTCAGTTGGTCATTTGCATCCTTTTTAGAGGGTGTTTTAGCTATGCAATTTGGGGTGAACACCCTTGGAATGGTGTGGGAGTTAGGAATGGATTTCCAGAGGAAAAATTGCAGACTATGGGAATCGGGAGCACCACTCCAGTGACCCTGAAGACACAGATAAACCTCCAGGTGGCCTCAATGACTCTAAAAGGATGCAAATGAATATAAGTCTGCAAGGAATATAAATATAAATATAAATATTTATATTTATATTTACATTATATATATATAAATATATAATGGAAGGAATATAAATCCTTCCATTCCCCTCCATCCCGTCAGAGCTGAAGAAGCTTCTTGGATGAGAAGCAAAACATCTTCAAAGAAAAAACAAAGTCCACTTCCCTCCTTTAGGACACAGCTTTGTTTGCACTCTTGGCTGCCATGTTGACTTTTTTGACCATACCTGGAGGGTGTCCCAGTTCTGTTGCATAAACCGAAAGGATCTTCTGTCCCCCATCTGGTTTTTGTCCAGCTGGGAAAGTTGACCAGGCTTCCAACTGGATGATTGGCTTATACTACTTCCGTGGTAGGCTAGCTAGGGTATTCTGGGAAGTTGGCCCACGAGTTTTAATGTTGCCAAGGTTGGACATCCCTGATTTAATACATCAGTTAAAAAAAATCATTCACAGACACAAGACAAACCCACGGCTTCATCCCTAAGTTTCAGCGAAGGAGAAGGATGCATCTGAGTAGCTTTGCAGCCCAAGTTGACCTTGCAAAGCTGGATTGAAGAGGTCTGGTCAACAGCTGGGGGTGGCCTGGAAAACATGCAGCTGAATTCCCATGCCTTTCCCACCAATCCAAAAATGGCATCGTGGCCATGCATTGTCTGCAGTGAGGGAAATGCAACTTGATCCCTTACTCAAGACCTAGTGCAATTATCAAGAGCCATGGTGGGCCAAGCGTGACCCTCCTGATCGTGTTCAAATCATCTCCATCTTTTCCAATTATCTATGTTGGCAGATGTTGCCAGGCACTGCCGTTGGTCAACATCTGGAAGATAATGGCTTAACCACCCAGCAAAATAGTCAAGATCTTTCAGATCTGTTGGCTGTGAATTATGGGTCTTGGATGCCAAGGTACATGCAGAGAAGCAGTTGAGAAAGGTTGCTATTGATCTGTTTTCCTTTATTCTCTCTTGGGTACAGAAAGCAAACACGTGAGCTTTTGACCTTGACGCTGTTAAACTACCCTTCCCATCATTTACTATTAGCCGTGTGAGTTGGGGCCGACAGGATTTGGAGGCCAACTTCTGGAAGGTCTCCAGTTTAAAAAAAAAAAAAAGATTGTAAGAGGGTTAGAATTACACACAGAAAGAGCTCCAGGCTACAAGTCCCTTTCCTCTACTAAAGGCCCCCACCCGTAACCACAATCTGCTTATTGATGTGCTCCTAAACGAAGACATGAGAAAACTCAGTCCACCGTGCATTTACCCCACACAAGCTGACTTTTTCAGCAGCACTAATGATAGTGCAGAGAGAAGCGCAAGGACTTGATACATCCTGCTCAGATACATGATTTGTTAAATAAAAATGCCGCCCTCATCAGCAAAAGCATTTTTATTGGTAAACACTCTTAAAAAGGCAAACTCCAGCTTCCAGCCTCATGACTGCATCCATGTGAGATGTGGCTTCTATTAAACATTCAAGGTGTTATTCCAGCCGCTCGCTCTCAAAACCTTTTCTGTTTTCTTCGTACATATGGCTTTCTCTTCGAGCGCAACCGTACACCCACAGGGCCATCAGCAAATCCTCCAGCCGTTCAGCACCGACACACTACCACAACCCAGAAGTCCTCAGGAGAAGCCGGAATAACAGTGGCTCTCTTGACAGAGCTAGCTTCCCAACACAAGAACATTGGGAGATGGATCTTCCTGGAGACCCTGAACCTTGTAAAGATCCCCCTCCCTGCCTGTGAAGGACTAAACCCCACAGAAAGCCTGTCCCTCAAAGCCTTGGCTTGGCTTACGTCTATCAAGAACAACGTCGGATTTTCTCAGCGTATGTCAAGTTACTTTGCTCTCAAATCCTTGAGTGAAGTAACTTATTCAACACAGGCCTTCTAAGCAATCAACTGCCAAGTCAGATCCTGCCTTGTGGAGGTCAGGATTGGCCAAACGCAACCACTTGGCCCTAGTCCTTGTAAGCCTCGCCTAGGTGGCGCCTTCATAGAACGCCTTTGCCATGGCCTGCCCCACCTTCACCGTCTTCTTCTCTTTGGCATCAGGGCCCAGGTTCTGGCGGGCCAGGTTCACCCAGTACTGCTCTGTCCTGGACAGGTAGTCGGCAAATCTTTCATCCTGTTGCACAGCTGGATGTTCCTTGTCTGAAGGAAGAAAAAGCAAGTGGTCAGTGGAGAACTGAAAGCAGTTGTCCCACTGATGATGTCCTATTTTCTCTTTTGGATCTACTAGAATCAAGGGCAGCCTCACCTGCATGAATATTCATAGGCTTTGGTCTAATTATCCAGCTATTTATCTAATTTACACTGAAGAGGGGAGGTGGGGGAGATACAAATTGTAGGTAGGGAAGGCACAACTGGGCTATGGAGGAAGACGTTCCTTTCTCTGATATTTTGAAGGACCTTTAGAGAACATCTAGGAACTCAGGACTATTCCTTTATGGCAGCGGTCACCAACTGGTGGTCCGTGAACCACTGGTGGCCTGCGAGAAAATTTTGGTGGTCCGCAGAAAAATTATTTGCATTTTTTATATTGCACTAAATCAAACTACGGCCCCTGGGATGGATACATGCAATGAATGTTTGTGTTGCTGCAGAGTCTCCACCCTCGGGGTCTTTTTGTGTGGGTCGGAGGAGGGCAGAAATTCCGACTCAGGGTCTGCTTCAGCCTCCTGGTGTGGGGCTTTGGGCAAAGGCTGGGGGGAAGTGCCACTGGTGGCGAAGAGCCGGAGGGCCTCGTTCCAGTGGGGCTGCATCATGGTCTGGAACTGGCTGACCATCTCAGCCCGCTGAGCCTCCAGCACCGGTGCCTGGCCTTCCCCAGGTCTTCCCTCTGCTTGGAAAGCCTATGCTCCTAGTCCTCAGTGAGGTGCTTGTGCTGAGGCTCCTTCTCTGTCAGATCCAATATGAACTGAGCCACCTTCTTTTGCCAACTCTTTCTCGTGGAGGCTGCTTAGCTCCAACAACTGCTTCCTGTTGGGGCCCTAAGGAGCCCGGGCGGGAAGGGGAGGAGTGGCTGGGAGGGGAGGGGCGAGTAGAGGCCGGCGCAGCGCCCCTCGACGTGAATGACATCGAGTTGGCCATGCCCACCCAGTCACATGACCACCCGGCCGGTCATTAGGCAGATCATAATAGTGGTCTGCGGGATTTTAAATTATGAATTTAGTGGTCCCTGAGGTCCGAAGGTTGGTGACCCCTGCTTTACGCTACTGAAGAAAGGAAAAGGCAGATCGTCTGGATGGCAATGCTGAATTCTAGACAGCAATTCAGCTGAATTATGTAAAAGAATCTTTCAAACATTCAGCAATAGGTTTCAAAAGCCGTTTCTTTATAAAATAGATTTGAAAGGCCAAAACCCCACGTTCTCCAATCTGCTACTCTCCAAGAAATACTAAGACTCCGAATTAACTGCCTGGAATTGAAGTGTCAGTGGAGCTTCTGGAGAACGTCCAGTTGGGGAGCCCTGGTCTTCTCCACTACTCACCAAAGAATCCCCACACAGCTATGACCCACGAGAGCCACTCATGGGAAGCAAACACCCAAAGGCTTTGAGGAACTGAATCCTGTCCAGGGTTCTTTGGTGGCCTTACCATCCTCTCCACTCTCCTCCTCATCAGAGTCCTCTTCCTCTTCCTCCTCCTCCTCTTCCTCCTCTCCTCCTTCGGCACCTTCCACATCTTCATCCGACTCTGATTCTTCAAGCCATTCCTGAGCTTCTGCCACAGCAGAACATAAACACATAAATGTTTACACAGGAACACACACATGCAAATACATGATCCTCGCATGCAGAAGAACATTCAAAATTAACACTACTTGTTAAGAACTTTTCCGTCCTGAAATTACCATCAGTCCTCCATGTGTTAGCCTCTAAAGCAGGAGTCTTCAACCTTGGCAACCTTAAGCCTGGTGGACTTCAACTCCCAGAATTCCTCAGCCAGCAAAGAATTCTGGGAGTTGAAGTCCGCCAGGCTTAAAGTTGCCAAGGTTGGAGACTCTGCCTTAAAGGGCAGACAGTGCCTTCCAAATTAGTAGGAAAGATGCCGAGGTCAACCTGAGGCTGGGCTGTTTGATTCCGAAGGGGGTGAATAGTGCTTGAATTGTACAGCAATAATAACTTCCTCAAAGCCTGAAGATCCAGAGAAGACCCTGTATCCCTGGAGTATCCCCAGTTCTTCTGAAATCTGTCTGGACCAGTCTATGATGGCTGGACTGTTCCTGGGCGAAAAAAGCTCAGATTTAGGTAAAAATAGAGAGAATCCCTTGTGAAACTTCAGGATTTCATTAAAAATCCCCCCCCCCCCCCACACACACACACACGGATTCCAGCGACCGAAAGGAAGGTTTAAAGTATTTCCAGCCCATATTAAGAGAAGAGAAAGCACTAAGCAGCCCCTACTAGGATTAACAACAAAAAAAAAAAGTTCAGGACCCAAGATCAAGCGAGGCCAAGGCTCGGTGAAGGCGTCCTTCCAGGGATTAAGCCCGGCCAAAATTAGCTGCTCTTGTGCCGGCCAGTTGGTGACATCTATTCAGAGCCCTCGGCATGACGGTACCCTCAGCCACAGTTCCCATCACCTGTCTCTGCGTCGGTCCAAATAAGCTTTTGTCTCAGATTAACGTGAGAGCTGGGATAGAATTAAACCCCGCTGCCTTTCAGCTCTTGAGGAACATCTTCCAAGCCAAGAATTCAGGAAATCTAAATCGGGCTTCACGTGTTGCTTGCCGATGGACAACCTCCTCCACCCCCGGCCCCTTTCAGTGGTCTAATGCAGATGGTGCTTCACCCAGAACTAGAACTTCCTTGGCCTGGTGACAACAGAAGTAGGCTGGTAAAGTACGCAAGTTGCCCTGTGCTTCTGAAGCCACCTTGGAATGGGCCGTTTCAGCAAGAAGAGAAGATGCTTCGCAGGTGGGGGGAAGGAATTAAAGCACAAAAGTACTAATCACAAGGCTTGAACCCAAAAGCAAAAACAAAATTAAGAGCAACTGCTATGATGTGATTGTATACGTTCTGTGCAACAAAGACCCCTCTAACCCAGCTTTTGGGGAATGCTGGAAGCTTTCTGGAGAGGGCCACAGCATTCAGCAAGGAAATCTAGTGGATCGAGAAGGATTCTGGACTGGCTTTCTTAGTCACATGCTAGTTATGTATTCCAGCAGGTGGAGAAATCATTTGGGCGGATTCTGTGGATCAGTGAGAATTCTGGATTCTGAGTAAGAAGCAAAATTTGGCAATCCCAGACTTTATGCCACTTAAATCAGTGTGCGCAAAGTCAAGTGTGTAATTTTGTTTATGCTTTCTCGGAGGGAAGGGAAAGAAATCCCCAAAATTCAGATTCCTGATCCTAGAAGCATTGTCCAATCTTCCCAAGTTCCAGAATCTCATCAGATATTTTTTTCTACAAACTTCTCTTCGACTGTAGTAAAAGCTAAACATCTTTGAGGGTTTTTTTCCCCTTTTAAAAATAAAGGAAGAGAAGAAATGAAGACATCTGAAGGTACAGAGAATGAGGTGGAGACAAAGCCCAAAAGCAGACGGAGACCAGGAAGGTCCTAACTCACTTGGGTCCATCTCCACAAGGACCTTCCACTCTTCCATTTTGTGGAGGTCGAGGGCGTAGAGGTCATTGAGAGTGAACTGGCGGTCTCCCACCTCAAACATCCCCCCATAGAGGTAGAGGACCCCATGCTTCACTGCCAGCATGGCATTTGAACGCGGGCAGGGCTCCACTGGAGGGTTGGAGGCTTCATTCCCCCCGTCATCGTCTTCTCCTTCCGACTCTGGTGACTCCGTTGACTTCCCTTGGGGAGCTGAGATCAGCTGCTTGACAATCATCACAGTCCCATCTTCTGCCACCACCTCCTTGACAATCTCCACAGGTCCAGGGGGAGGCTGTCCTTCCATCTCATCCCCTCCACCACCAGCCTGATGGGGCTCCCCTTTCGCTGCGCCTCGTCTTCTTCTCTTTTTGTCGGACTTCAATCCCTAGTGATGGAGACAAGCATGTACCAGAAGAACATGAAAATCCAACCCAAGTACAAGAGATGTTCTACAGAACTTCTGGGAGCACCACCACCACTCTTCTTCTAAGATGCCACAGTCATTTGCCTTGACTGCTTTTAGGTTTCCAGGAGTCTCCAAAACCGACCCCCAAATCCTCAGCTTCCATTTCAAATTTGAAATGACAACTCAATAAACCAGTATTTTTCTCCTCCATTGAAAATGGAAGCTGAGAGCAGAAGTCTCCAACCCGTGGCAATTTAAAACTGTGTTGGCTGAGGAATTCTGAGAGTTGAAGTCCACAAGTCTTAAAGTTGCCAAGGTTGGAGATCCTTGAACTAGAGTAATTGGAGATGGAGATCAAGAGAACAGAGGGAGAAAAACCTCACTGTATGAGATTTTGCCACAAACCTTTAATTGTCCAAGAAACCACCGATTCTTTGCCAGATCGTAGAAATAAATATCGTTGAAGAAGTCTCCTTCTAGACGTTCCTCCTCTTCTTCATCATGGACCCCACCAAAGAGAAGAGAGCGGTTGCCGGGCCCCAGGGCCACCGAGAAGCCAGATCTGGGTGTTGGCTTCACACCAGAAGGACTCACCCTGCTCCAAGTCCATTTTTCTGTCAAAGATAGAAAAAACAGAACAAGAAAAGTGGGAGATGAATGAAAAGCATAATAATAGGGAAACTTCTTAAACTTCAGGCTTTGGGGGACATGAGGAGGGCCTATACTCGTGAGAAGCCTTCACTGCCGTAGAAGACACCCCTCCCCCATTCAACTCTCAGCATAGCAAAGGATTCAGCAAGGACAGAAGGTCTGCACTTACCCAAGCCTTCAGCACTCAGGAGGAACATATCTGTATGGAGGGTCCCTTTGTCAACGTCTTTCTTAATTCGCTGCACAAGGAAAGCAGCTGCATTATGGAATCATATTATGGAAGTAGAACCAAGCTATCAACAAGGAATTATTTCCACAAATCTTCCTTATGAATCATGCACAATCCTTCTAAGCCCTTGTTTTATGACTTCACCTACAAGAGCAAAGGGTCAGGATCTTTGACCAGTGAGATTTCCAGGGACTTTCCCCAAATTTCTATTGTGTGGAAATATTCCCAAATATTTTCCTAGGGGGACTTAGAGCCTGCAAATACTTCATCCATTCCTTACTGAGAAGCAGGGCTGGGAAAGAGGAAAGAGGTCCTCCAGAAGTTGCTGAACCGTAATATCCAGCAATGCCTGCCAAGGTGAAGGAAGGTGGGAAGGCCAATCTAGCAACAGTGGAGGACCACAGGCTGATCCACAGCACCTAATAGCAGCTTTTGTGAAGCCCCTGAATCTACACATGTTGCAGAGAAGGCCCTCGTTCTGGTCCCTTTCAAACATGCTCCAAACCACTTTGAACAACTTCTAGTCTTAAAAGACCGGCGACTCATACCAACCCTAATAGCAAAAGATGACCCTCACCTGTTTGGAGTAGCCTCCATAGACCATGAGGTGGCCCTCAGGTGTTGAAGCCAGATGGCAACCTGACCTCGGGGCCGGGGCGATCCCAGAAGTAGCCAGCTTAGACCAAGCAAAGGTGTCCAGGTTGAAAGCATGGACATCGTTGTAGTAGATGTAATCTCTAGTTGATCAAAAGCATCAGACACAAGTGATGGAAGGCAGAGTTGAGTTGGCAACAGATCTCCAGCAGAGACAGAGAACCGCCTCCCACAACAGCATAAGCAACAAGGGCGCAGGCCTGGCCCCCCAACCTTCCATCTGTTCTAGAATTCCTTCTGATTTCTCTTGGCGACCCACCTCCTTGTCCTAGGCAGCCCCACGTTCCAGATTACATGAGCTGTCCGTAGGTTGACTTCTATCCCCTCTACCTGAACTTTCTGCCTAGAGAAGCACTCAAGTTAAGTAACCACGATAAATAAAGCATAAGCACTCAGCATTTGAAAAAAAGGACCAATAAAGATTGCCCTTAAATGAGTGAAGCTCAGCTCCTCCTTTGAACGAAAGTGGGGGCTGAACAGTTTTTGGCTGCCCACTGCTTAGAGGTCATCATCATCAACATCAGAATATGCTCCTCCAGGGAAAGCCCGGTGAAGATAGCAGGGTGAAGGAGTCAAAATCTGGACCACCACCTCCTACTCCATCTGCCCTGGGTTCCTTTGTGCTTAATGGAAGCATCTTCAAGGGAAGGACAGGAGGCATCCTGGGCTGAGTGGAGGCAAAATAACCCTCCCCCCCCAAAAAAAATGGACAGCGGAGCAGACTCACCGGCTACTTTCATGGAAGCCTCCAAAGACAATGAGTTGCCTCTTACTGACCGCCATCCGGTGTCCACTCCGCCCAGAGGGCCCTCCTGAAGCTCTGAAATCAAAGAAGGGGATTCAGCAGCCCCTCTGATTTCTTCAGTGGGTCTTGATGCTCCTCCAGCTTGTCCCCTTCTTGTAGGCTACCCCTTTGTCCCCCTTCCCCTTCCGGCCCAAGTTGTTCCTCTGAAAGCCAAGGCAAGAAAGGAATGGCCACTTCTAGAAAGCAACAATGGACTTCCAGAGACCTGAGCATGTCTCGGGGCTGCAGGGAAGGACACCACGCCAATTCTGACATTCCCTGTTCTCCATCGGAGGCCTCCGGCAACCCCGGGGGTGGAGGGCACCAACAGTGGGTCCTTCCAGAACTCTCTTTACTTACTTGACTTGCTCCCAGGTCCTGCTGGCCAAATGCAAGACCCAGAGGTCTTTGTAGTGGTAGAACTGCTCCCCATCCGGAGAAGCAAATTCCCCACCGAACAGCCAGAGTTGTCCGCCACCCTGAGCAACAACCACAGCCTGCCAGACAAAAAAGAGAGAGGGCAGCGTCTGTCTCCTTTTTGACATGCAAAACCCAAGGTTTTCTCTTAATCATTCTGACCACGCTGGGTTGAACCCCTGTGCTCATGCTTGCTAGGTAGGTAAGAGGTAGAAAAGGGAGGGAGGGAGGGAGGAAGAAGAGACAAAAGGAAGGGAGGGAGGGAGGTATAGAGGGAGAAGGGAGGGAGGGAGGGAGAATTGAAGGAAGGAAGGAAGAGAAGAGAAGAGAAGAGAAGAGAAGAGAAGAGAAGAGAAGAGAAGAGAAGAGAAGAGAAGAGAAGAGAAGAGAAGAGAAAGGTTAGAAATGGGAGGGAGGACGTCCACATGCATTTACAGAACCATCTTTTCTGGAGAAGCAGCTACGTTAACTATATTCCTTCATCAATCTATACTATTATGAAACAAGGCCCATCCTTGCTTAGCACAGTGGGTGATCCTAATCCCAGACTGTCCCAACCACCATACCTGGTGAGCACAGCGCCGAGGCGGAGGACTCGGAATATCGATTTTAGCCCAGCTGTCCTTCCGGATGTTGTAAACGAAGAGCTCGTTGTAGAGGAGGGTCTACGGGAGACATCAAAGGAGGAGGAGGAGGAGGAGGGCTTTGCTAGAAGTGGAGATCTTCCAGGAAAGGCCTATTTTACTGCACAACTTGATATCTCAAAATGACAACCCAGCCAGCATTTTCTAGCTTCCCAACTCTTGGAAATCATTAAATTCCTTGGGCAGCTCTAGCTGCTTCAGTATCCAGATCAGCACATGGTACCAGGTCAACCCTAAACAGGCCCTTATTTTAATAAAACAATTGCAAATTCTCCAAGCTGCTGTGATGCTGAGGGCCACTTCCTCCCCTGCTCCAGAGGAGAAAAGTGGCCATCCCAAGGCCAGGAATTCAGAAGCCAAACGCAAGCGCCCTTCAACTGAGGTCCTCCAGAACAGGGGTCTCCAACCTTGGCAACTTTAAGACTTGTGGACTTCAATTCCCACAATTCCTGAGCCAGCTTTGTTGAAGTCCACAAGTCTTGAAAGTTGCCAAGGTTGGAGACCCCTGCTCCAGATAGCTGGTACTCGACTCATCAGAGCAAGATCAGGCCATCAGCCTCCCACATTTCCTTCCACAAGAATATTGGGTGTCTGGAGAAGAAGGTGAGAAGAAAGGCTGAAGCTCCATCTTGAGGCCATTCGGATTCATGGTCTCCACAGCAGTTGCTTCTCTAAACTTGGCTCCTTTAAGGCTTGTGGACTTCAGCTCCCAGAATTCCTCAGCCAGTATGAGGAATTCTGGGAGTTGAAGTCCACAAGCCTTAAAGCAGCCAAATTTGAAGACCCCTCTGCTATGGGATGAAGTTCTCCCACATCTGCTTTACATTTCCTGCCAAATAAACTTTGATGACTTGACCATGACATCAATTGCTACGAGAAGCAGAAGGGAAAGAACATTTTCAGCCCTATATGCATTATTTACATTTATTGATTTGAATTATATTCCCTTTTTTATGCTCAGAGAAGCTCCTGAAGGCAGCTGACAGAATCAAAACTGATAAAATTAGCAATTAAAAATGGAAGGCTACTGATGAGAAATCCATTCAGTCAACAGATTTTAGTAAAACCCTTTCCCCCATCTCCTCCATCGTTCTATTTGCCCCTGGATAAAGCCCACTTAACCAAAATCTCATTTAGCAACAGAAATTTTAGGCTCAATCGTGGTCATACGTTGAGATTGAGAACTACCCATATCGATCAGTGCTGGATCCATTTTGGGCTCTGCAATTCCTTAAAACTATCAAAATTTGACATGCAATTTCTGGAAGATTTAAAAGTGAAGCTGGTGAGAGAAGGAGAAAAAGAGAGAGAGAGAGGAAAAAAAAGGAATACTTTACTTTTTGGCCATTGAAATATTCACCTCCGAACAGGATGAGCTCGTCTTTCTCGGGGTGGGCGGAGAGAGAGGCGTTGAGCCTGGGAACCAAGAGGAAAAGAGGCTAAGCAAACCAAGTGCAAGATTTCAGGGAACAGAGTTCATGAGGACTAGCAGCTTTTCACTGGGGATTGAAGGGGTGCACAAAACATTTTGAGACCAAACTTTCCCAACTGCCCAAATAACCTTGGCGTTTCCACGCTCACCTTGGGGAGGGAGGGGCGCAGGGGGTCTCCAGCACCTGCGTCTTTGCGGCATCCAGAGACTGGAATTGGGCAATCAGCGCCTCCAGGTCCTCCTGCAGTTCGAGAAACAGCTTGGTTTTGCAACAAAAAGGGAGACGTGTGCCCCCCCCCAAATCTTTCATCCATACGTGAAAACATAGGTTTTGTGTGTGCGTATAACTTTGGCGAAAGAGATTTTAACGAGATCAAAACGGATACTGAAAAGAGACGGAGCAGAAAAAGAGAAAAATAGCGCATAGCGGGAGAAGAAATCAGCGAAAAAGAAAAAAAGTATAAAGAAACGCCTTCCAATCTCCTTAAACGTGGTTATAAATATGTTAACATTTTACCATCTCTAAGGTCACATCTTGCTTTCTTTCCACGCTGCTCTTTCCAACTGTCAAATTCATTACAAATTACACATCCATTTTTCTCTTCTTCTCTTTCACTGTTGCACATTTCCTTCTCTTGCACAAATCTACTGTTGCACTAACTCACTGCTCCTACCCTTCCCTTGCACTAATCCGATCTCTTGGATTGCACAGAGGAATTGTGCTGGGGAAGGGCAGGCAGGGACCCTCCTGCAGGGGGCAGAGGGGGGGGGGAGTCTGGACCAGTTGGATTCCTGCCTGCCCTGCAGCTGGAAAAGCCCCTGCAGCCCCAGCACCCTCCTAATCACCTCCTCTTTCTTGGTCCGCTTGGAGACTTTCTTCTCCATCTTGGCCGCTGTCTTCTCGGCCCCCTTGGCCTTCTTCTCCTTCTTATTTTTCTTGCCCATCTTGGCAAGTCAGGGCAGCTGTGCCCGGCCAGGGAAGCTGCAGGCGTCGCTCACATGGCAGCCCCGGCCTTTTCCTGTTCCCGGGGCATTTCCTGCCAGCGAAAAGAACCAGGAGGCGGAGAGGCCGAGCCTGCAAAAGGGTTGCCATCTGCGGGAGGGAGGCTGCTTTGCAAGGCCGGAAGGGAGCGCTTGGCGCAGCCTTGCCAAAAAAAAAAAAGAAACAGCATTTGGAAAAATCAATAAGGGAGAATCTTGGTGGCTCAGGATTTGGTGGTTTCCTTGCAGATATTTTATGTCCCAAATGCCAGCGCTAGCCACACTGGCACCGATGACGTCGCCCAGTTTGGGTCATGAAACATCTGCAAGAAAACAGCCAAGCTCAGAGAGCACCAAACTCTTTTGCGTCTGGGCTTGTAGTTGCACAAAATTCTGCACAAAAGCAGGCAAATTCTAGAGCAATTCCATGGCAGTCCTCCTCCTCCTCTCTGAAAAACCCACCCACTCCTAGCACTGATCAGGTTACCTAGTTAGATAATGAAATGTCTAGAAAGAAAACAACCAAGCTCAGAGAGCACCAAGGACCCCTCCCTTGGAAAAAGCCCCCCACTCGCTCCACAACCACACAGCCATCCAGAAACCTCCTTTTCCTAATCCTCTGGTGCTGGTTGGAAGCCTCAAATGCAAGATCCAGTAATTAAATAAATCCTAGTCTTTAGTAAAAAGAAGAAAAAAAAACTGCAGGAGGGTTTTGAGTTTTTGGGTGAAGCACACACACACACACACACACACACACACAGGAGTCCCTCCTTTTGCAAACATGCAGCTGATGCAATTTTGGCTGCGATGTGATGAGCTGCTGCAGCTGCAGGGGCTGTCAATCGCCACCAGGTGGCAGTCTTGTGCAACAGACGGGCAGCTTATCCCAGTGCAACCATCACAGCCTGGTTTAGAAGCTCTGGTTGCCCATCCCATCGCTGAGAGGATGGTGCAAGAGCAGCCAAAAAGTTGCATCATGCCAGGATGTCTGGTCTGCATTTCTATGGGATGGAGAATGGGCCTGACCCCACTGGGGAGCCGGCCAAGACCTGTTCCTGAGCCCTTTCCACCCCAAAACCTCTCCTCGCCTTCATCAAGAGGTTCTCCAGGTAGCAAAACTTCACTGCTTCTTCCTGGGTTAACTCCTCTCAAATTGCCTCGGCTCTAAAATCCCTACTAGGACACAATTAGACTCCTTGTGTATTTCCCTTCCCCTGGATACAAGGATTCTGGTTTTCTAACTTATTCTGGGGGAACTTTAGGAGTTGTTTCCATTTGCTTTCTCACGGCAGGCGGTGGGAAGGCTTACGTCCACCAGCCATCCTTCTCCAACTCCCTGTTCCCCGTGTTCCAATCTGAAAGGACAGGATGAGTTGCTCTGAGATGCTTTGGGGAATTAAGTGAATTTTAAGGACATAGAAAATCCGCAGAGCCCCAAACTGTTCAATGAAAGACCCACAACCCATTCTGAACCGCACCCTCATCTTGCCCCGAGAACTGGGCATTAAGGCAGAGTCCCAACAGTCTGTTGGGTCTCACCTTAGCTTCCCTGTTGCCCATCCATCTCTCTCTCAATGGGAAGTCACGGTGATGGAGCAACTGAGGTGTTGGACCTGGACTGGGGTGAGCCAGATTCAGATCCATCTCAGCCACGGAAATTAAGAAGAAGTGGGTCTCCCTGTCTCTTTCTTAGCTCCTCCTACCTCACAAAGGGAGTTGTTGTGCAGATAAGATGAAGAAAACGCTCTTTCTTAAATTCCTGGAGGGAAAGAAAATGGAATAGATCTAACGAGTACAGAATAATTTAAATCAGAGGTCCCCAACCTTGGCAACCTTAAGACTTATGGACTTCAACTCCCAAAATTCCTCAGCCAGCCATGCTGCAGGTTGGATACCCTGCTGGCTGGCTGAAGAATTCTGGGAGTTGAAGTCCATAAGTCTTAAAGTTGCCCAGGTTGGGGATCCCTGATCTAGATCAGCTATGGATCACTGGAACAAACAGGATTTCATGAATAACCTAGAATAACAGAGTTGGAAGGGACCTTGGAGCCTGCAAGTTGGAGGTCTTCTAGTCCAACCCTCTGCTCAGGCAGGGGACCCTAAATCATTCTGGGCAAATAGCAGTCGTGTTTCTTCTTAAAAATCTCCCGTGTATTAATACTTGCGCATTAAGCAATACATAAGGAATATCCTTCTGTAGATGTTCACACTTGTAATACATTATTTCCAGCCTTGGAGGATCATTATCTGAAGATTCTTTTCCTGATCATTTCCTAAAGTATCGTCTGTACTGGATTCCCTGTCTCTGCAGTCCTCTTTCCTGTTTTAAAAAGCAGGAGAGAAACTGCAGTGCTAGTGAAATATCTGTGAAAGGGGTTTAACTGTCCTACCAGCCATCATCAACCAATCCAAAGGAGCTCATCAGGCTGTGAAATTGCATTGCTTTGTAGCTTCCTTCTGCTCCCGTGCACACATTCATTATTTTGTACTGTTTTTTTTAACCTCCCAAAATTATTTATAATAATAAAAAAGTAGCAAGATTGCATTAGTAAAAAATCAGCACCATATACGGAGACTGTTCCTAGTTATTGGGGGAGCTTTGAAAACCACTACTTTCAACCCTTGTCCACAAGGCAGAACCATCAAAGCATGGGTCATCTTCAGGAGAAGACAACAGGCCGGCCGGCCTAAGCCTGATGGAGCTTGGGATTCCAACTCCCAGAATTCATAGCCAGGGATTCTGGGAGTCGAAGTCCATACCTCTGGAGAACGTCCTGGTTGGGGAGGGTTGAAAGGATTTTCCTGGAGACAGCCGAGTCTTTGGGCTGTTACTACATGGGCTTACTATTTTCAGAGAGTGTTTTTGTTTTAACAACAAATCAATCTGTTTGGAAGCTCCTCAACTCCCAACAGTGTGTGTTTAAAGCCCTGGATTTCCCCTTGAGTGATACAGCATCTACAGCCATCCTGTTGCTGCTGAAGTGAGAGAAAGCCTCTTCGATGTCCTTTTGGCACAGCAGTGCTTGGAGGACACCAGGAGATCCTAGTGAGGAACCTCTACAGCAGCGGCCCCCAAACCTTTTGGGCACCAGGGACAAGTTCTGTGGAGAAGTTTTTCCTTGGACTGGAGGGGGCATGGTTTCATATGCTGCCTTCATCCTGTGGGTGGGGCCTCGCTTGTTTGTGCCACCCAGTTTCTGGCATGCCGCAGCCAGGGGTTGGGGACCCCTATTCTTGTCTTGTCTCATTCACAGAGAAGCCCACTTCTCTACGGCTGCAGTCTTTGGATGTGGACTGCCTTTAGCCTGTAATCCCTTTGGAGGCTGATGGAAAACGGAGGCATTGACAGATTTTTACATTCACGCAGAGGCCTCTGTCCATTATCTTCCATGTGTCCAGTGGAATTAAACTGGTAACAACACTATACCAGAGGGAGACAAAAGAAACTGCAGAAATATTGCCCACTTCACCTGGGAGGAGGGATTGGCAATTCGATGGCACCTCTCCGCCTACATTTGCTCACTCTGCTACCTGGGAACAATGAGAGCAGGATGTGGCCATCAAACAGATTTACCTGTTGATAAAGAGACTAGCATGAGAAGAACTGCAGGTGTTGGACCTGCAGGTGGGGACCTGGGTGGAGAGGGAAGAGCCAAGAATTAGAAGCAGCAGATGGTTCTTGCAGGAGGTGGTCCACCATCATTTTCAAAGCCTGCCCCACAGCAAAGACCTTGGACTTTCTTCAAGATCTCGCCATCCCTCACCATACCTGTAAATCTCCTCTTTCTGCAGTTTGGGTCTCACCTTCCCAACACGTTACCTTCTTCTACAGCTAGGATTACAGCGCTGATGTGCTGAGCGGGATTCATGATGCAACATTGCACGCTGTGCCTCTGGCAGTCGGCCCCAGCCGTGCTGCACAGTCTTGCCTCATGCGCTCCCCGGCCTGAACTTGTACCGGAGCAGCCATCGGGGCGGGGGCTTAATTTTTACGCCAGGGGAGATGGGACAGAGTTTGGAGAAGATGCTTCATCAGCAGCAGCATAAAACACACAGCATCCCATTACTAAACAACTAAAAAGGTTCCCAGAATAAGGATAAGGATCTGGTGGGGTGCAATTCCCAGAAATAAATATGATTCCTAAGAAAAGAAGATGCAATTATACGCAGGCAGTTCAAGGTGTCCGTGTGCCTTTCCAACAGGAGGGGTCTGCATACTTGCGATATTTTCTTATGTAAGGTGGGTGGCTGGGAACGGCATGCAAACAAGTGTGCATAACCAGAATTGGGGAGGAGGAAGTGCTTTCAAGACCGGGCTCTGCTTGGCTCTTATCTTGATCTGCTTTCCTGCAGATGGGATATTTATAACGTGCCCGGCAGCTTTTATCTTTTGACATTTGTATTTTCTTTGGCTCCCGGAGAAAGGAGCCATTTGTGATCGCACTGGGCTCAATTGAGTGCTTTCTGGAGAGCACAACACTCAACGGGGCCAAGCTAAACAAACCCAAACAATGTCCTCAAAGCATGGACACATCTTAGCCAAGGACAGGTATGCCTAAAACAAGGGTAAGATAATCATCTCTGTTGATTGTGAGAGAAGGGAGTCTGAGCTGCACACGTAGCAGGAGCTGCAAGCACTGTCATCGGTTCTTCTCCAGGAAGACAAGGGCTTCAGTAGAAGGCACGTAGGCACAGCAGATGCCTCCATTCCTCAGGTCCCTCTGGAGATGTTCAGGCATGGCAGTTGGTTATGTGCTGGATAAGAAAACTGGGCTCAGAAGACCAGAGAAAGGAAGGTCTACACCTTCTCAGAGGGTCTCGACTTGATTCCTTACACCAGAAGTCCAGATGGGAGTGAAAATCTCCTGCATCTTTGCATCAGTCCTCACTCAGTTGATGCCACAAGTAGAGAGCAGCTGCCTGCCTCTGACTGCAACTTACCTGGGAAGTTGGCTGCTCTTTGAGAAAAACAGAGAGCAATTTGTCTCAGGCAGGTGGTGCCTCAGAAAGGGGATTATGGGCTGAATCCTGGATTTTGAAAATTGCTAGGTACAGAGTTGATTTGATTTAGAAAGCTCACCTGAAGGATCCTAATCTTATCTTTTCCTTCCTCTGTATAATGGATGGGAGGCAGAATTATTATTTTAGCAGAAAACAAAGCGGGCGGCACCATCAAGGACCAGCTCTATTACAATTAGAGGGAGCTTGCCCACAAAATGCCATCTGCGGGGATTTTGCAAAGCTGTGAGTGACAACGTGGCACTAATTTCCCGTTTTCTTGTCCTTTTCTCCTTGTGCCCTTCATGCTGGAGACTTGAAAAAGACCGAGACATTAGAGCGAGGTCTTCACAGACACCCATTTTGAAAGCTGGGCATTTTGAAGTCAGATTTGCCGCCCGATGCAGTTCTCGTAAAGAAAAACCTCCCTTACCTATTTGTCCACCAGGAATTGTACCCTGTCAGCAGATTCTTCCTGCCAGCCGCTCCGATGTTTGGATTATGGTTTGGAAAAAGCCTTTTCGATTTTCAGGGGCGTAAAAACAAGCTGAGCTTGCTAGAACCCAATGCACAATTTCTGAAGTGCACTAAGCGCTTCCTGCTTTCTCTGTTTGCAGGTAAAAATTCTTTCCCAACACTGTCAATTATCCTGGGAAAAGAAAACTTACCTTCTGTTTTTACAGTACTAGTGTAAGTGAAGATCTAATGGCTGGAACCGCTTTGTTGTTGTCTTCCTGGCTTTGCGCAGAGTTGATCCTTTCAACTATTTTGCAAATTCAAAATTTGTACAAAGCTGGAGATTTTGATTTGCAAACTTGTGCTGTGGCACTATGCACCCATGGCCAAATAGGGCTTATTCCAGGGGTGTCCAAGTCCTGTGGACTTCAACTCCCAGAATCCCCACAGCACACAGCCTTTTCTCAACTCGGGACAGTATTCCCTGTTCACCCATACGGAGCTGCCCAAATAATCCTGATTTTCTTTTCGGATTGGTAAAGAACCAGAAATGGACATTCCCAGGGAGAACACCCAGCCGAGATCCATGTTAAACAAGTGAATCAAGAAATACTCAACTCAGAACAGCAAGCTTGAAATTCAGAAAACTTTGTTCAAATAAAAACCAGAACATTTAAAATGGAATAGCCATGGTTTATAATGAACAATAACAAATCCAGAAGGGGAGAAAAACACAGTAAAAAAGACAGACTGGACTGCATTACACATTTTTTTTACAAGGCAAAATTGACTCTTTTTACTACAGAACTCATAAAAAAAAAAGCAGCACAAATCTTGGATCAACTCTATATGGACAAATGCAAAATATTAGATAATAGAGCTGCACTTTCCGATACTCACTCGTTTAAAATAGAGCACAATAATTAAATTAGTAAAAATATTTATTTTTCAAATGTAACAAAAAGTTTTTAAAATTATGTTTCTTTTTTCCTTAGCTTAAAGACTTTATTTCTTTTTATTTTATAAAAAAAACTATATTAAAAGAAAATATAGATTTCTAAGGAGTCAGATTTCACTCAGTAGTTACAAAGATAACAACCCTGTTGCCTGTGCAAACATCATGCGATTAATCTGCTTCCAAGGAATTAAAAAGAAGACTGATTAAGGACAGAGACGCAACCTAAGACAAGGGAAATCCGCATGAACTTTTCAAGCAAATTGCTTAGAAAACCCGGGCCTGGAAGGGCACAAATCCTGCGATTTTTGCATTCTTCCGAAAAGCACCATTTTTTGGAGCATGTTTGGTCATTTGCCCGAGCACTCCTGAAATGAGCCTCATTGTCCATAAGACAAACTGTAAGAGGTTCAGAAGAACCATAACAGGTTGCCTAGATGGCCATTCCACTCTAGTTCAGGGGTGTCCAAGCTTGGCACCTTTTAAGACTTGTGGACTTCAACTCCCAGAATTCCCCAGCCAGCCATTGTGCACAGGTGTTATAGTTGCCAAGCTTGGACACCCCTCTGCTCTATTTGAAGAAACATCACCTTTGTTTAGGAACCAGCTGGGGAGCTCTCTCCTCAGTCATTGGGGCCTTGTGGTTTCAGAAGACCAGCAATGGATTTTGGGCCCAACGCTCATGAACTTGGCTAGGCTTCCGTTGAATTGCACACTTAGCCTTTTCTTGAGGTGCGCTTGACATAAGCAACTAGAAAGTCAACCAGGCCGATGCACAAAGAGGTGCATAACTGGACTACGTGGCTGAAAGAAAAGGCGTGGTGAAAGACAGCTGGGCAATGCACAAGAAAGCAGAGCAATTGTTAGGTTGGCAGGCTGGTTTCTTTTACCAAGTTGCAGCCTGCGAGGTTTGACTTCTCGGCTCCACTGGTAACGGTGAGCACAACCGAAGCCAAAACGGGCAATGAGCCCCTTTGCGGAAGTCCCAAAACAATAAGAACAAAAGGAACGGGGTGGGGTGGGGACACACAAAAGCGATTCTACAAAGCTCTGCAAAACGTGAGGGTGCTTAATAAATAGCTAGAGAATGCCAAATATTCTTGAGCGGTAAGCAGGGGAAATGAGCGGGGTGGAGCAGAAGGGCATGACCCCAGGGGAAGAGAATGAGTCGGAAAGCTCTGAACTGCAACCGTTGTTGCAGTTCTCACCTGGGTCTACACTCCACATGTCTGCCCTCCTTCAGGAAAAAAACGCCAGCGTACTAAATTGGTGGGTGGAATAATGTTCAAAGCCAGGGGGATTCCCACAGCAGGTGCACAATTTGGATGGGAAACTACTACATGGCTCATTGTAGAAAGAGTGAATTGGGTGGGCGGGGGACAATGGGTGTTGTAATGCAACACATCTGGAGGACAGGAGATCTGGGCACCATACTGTCCACAGGACAAAAGAGCACTTTAACAATAAGGGGACCAAAACGTCGCCAGATGTGCTGGAGAATGATGGGATTGTCCCTCTTTGTAAAATATGACCACTACGATGACTTCAGCACTTCTGAATTGCCATACTATTTGGAAATTGTTAACGGCAGCCCATTTCCTTAATATTAGGAAATAGAGGCAGAAAAATCATTTTGCAATAGACCACAGATCTGGGAAGTGTATTCGGAACAGCTGCACGGAGGCCTCTAGAAACCCTGGCAGAAACAGTTAAAAATGCCCCCATTATGATGTTCGACATTGTGGCGCCTGGGTTTTAGAATCTGCATTTGTTGGCATCACAACTGACAGATGGGGTGCCCTTAGCTATTCTCCCCCCTCTCGACTTCAGCCAAATTATTTTGCCTGTTTCCATGTTTCGATAACCACAATGTACACAACTCCGTGAAGCAAACAATGCAGAAATGCACAGGTTAGCATCTTGCAAGCAAGAACAAAGGAAAACCACTTCTTGCATCCTGTTTGACGGTATAAAGTTTGGATTTATATACTATATTCAATGGAAGTGCTGTCTGCCTGGATTTCTGCCCGAATGCTGGCTGAAAGTTTCCGCAGCTCAAGTTGAAATTGGAAGTGTCCAACCTTTGGCAACTTTTAAGACTTGTGCACTTCAACTCCCAGAATGTCTGGATCCCAGATGCGTGGACTTCAACTCTTCAACTTCAGTGGCTGGCTGGGGAATTTTGGGAGTTGAAGTCCACGCATCTGGGATCCAGACATTCTGGGAGTTGAAGTGCACAAGTCTTAAAGTTGCCAAGGTTGGACACCCCCCTCTAGAGAAACCAAACTTTCCAGACCACATTCCCCGAGAACGGAAGAGAAAGAAAAACAGATCCCATGGGTCGAATCATCCCACCCAATTCTAAGCAATGTGGTCCCATAAGAGAGCCGTAACAGACAATAAATCCCACGAGTGCTGATTTCAATTCTTTGCTCTACAACTCAGAAGCCTAGCCTTTGCTTGCTTGGCCAAAGTCTAGCTGCATGTTTGAGAAACGCTACAGATCAAGAAAAGAGCCACAGAAGCAGACACGCATGCATAAACAATCAGACACACGAACAAGCAGACGTGCACAGAACACTGATGTTCTGCTTGTTCCCACTTGGTGCCCTCCTCTACCTTATGCTTCCCATGTCATCCCCCGCACAGGATAGTCACCTCCAGCCCTTTCTTAAGAATACATTTATGGTGCTGTAACAAATGACATTCTGCACAATGAGGAAACAAAAATGTAGTAAGTTTAGTAGAACCACTGAATGCCGATAGGAAATGAGGTTCAAACAAGGATGCCAGGTAAGAAAACTTTCCAACGTCAAGTGCATCACATTCCCCCAACTGGTAAATTCAGTGGCTTTAGAGCAGTTTTTCCGCAATGTGGGGCACTTTAAACTGTATGGACTTCAATTCCCAGAATTCCCCAGCCAGGAATTCTGGGAGTTGAAGTCCCTACGGCTTAAACTGGCCCAAATTGAGAAGTACTGCTGTAGAGACTGTTGCATGAATCCATCCTAGTCTGAGGAGTGTCTAGAAATTTCAGCCTGACCCGGATGGGGGAATTCGTCAGGATGCCAAATGAAACTGTACAAAACCCCTTATGGGAAATTGACACAACATGGTCATGTGGGAGTCCTAAGGAGAAGAAAACTTAAAAAATAATGTCACTAAAAAAATTAAACAATTTAAAAAAATACTCATGTCAGAACTACTTAGTCCGCTGAGAATGAAAAGAGCTGAGGTGGGAGCCGCTCAGCCTGCTGCCAGTTTGTGGGGTTCTCTCTTCTTCTGCAGGGCCCCCTTTGTTGGCAAGGAGTGTTTGGTGTCGGCAGACGACTTTTGAGGAATACTCTACGTTGCTGGACCTCAGCCATCGTCTGTTTTTTTCTTTTCCCCTTTTTTTCTGCCAAAGTTGAGACAGCTGGTGGAGAAACTAAATAAAGTCCATAGTTGAGCATGTAAACAAAACATTTTTGTGGGCTTCCCCGTTTTCTCGATTTGGGCGGAGGCCTCTTTTCTCTTCTAAGCGACCTCCTCTTCCCAATTTTTAAAATTTGCACCCGGGATCGTTCTTCTCCGCCAGCAACTTCTCAACGGCCTGGTCGGAGTTGGAGAAGGCCTCAAGAGGACCAGAGGTGGGCAGAAGCAGGGGGTCCCGAGAGGTCTCCGGGCTGCCTCTGCGGTTTCCATTTTTCCAGGGAGCAATCAGACATACTTATGTTTCAAAAACAATGTTGTGCGTTGGCTTGAACTAAAGATCGATGGTTTCACTGCCCTCCTTCTTTAAGTCTCTTGAGGAACCACTTCCATCAGCTTCTGGAACACGACTGTGGTGGAGTCTGTGGGTGAGGAAAGAAAAGGGGGACGATTCCATGAGCAGAATCAGCTTTTGAGATCACTGCCATGCCTAAATTGGTCACCCAGGACACAAAGAGAGGCGTTGACTCCACTAGAAGAATTGCGCCGTCTCCATCACTCGTCCTTCCCCCCGAAAGAGGATGGAGTCATGAGAGTTTGTATAATTCAATTTAAAAGTAGTTCTAAACAAATGATGGAGTCCCCATTTGGATTTAAGCATTTCCTTTTGTCATGTGCCAAACAACAACTTGAGGAGGGCTTCTGCACCCAGGAATCCTGGGGTGGGGTGGAATCATTGTAAATTCCTAGAAAATTAGTTTTGGCTACCCTGACTGATGCCCCGTGGATGCACCAGAAAGGAAAAAAGGGTTTGGGAAATTACATAAGGCACCAGGATCAGAAGATTCCAATTAAAATCCTGGCAAAATTTCCATCCATGTCCCTTGGAATAATTTCTTCCACCAGCCTATTCTCCACCCAAAATGGACTTTGCAGGACAATAAGAGGGGCTTTTAATAGAAGGGCGGTTAATTCTTTGAACAAGGAGAAACTGGTGGACGGCAGAAGCCTCCATAGTCAAGAAAATCACTTGGATAATTTTAGGGATTCTCCTTCCCCAAAAGAGATAAACATGGATTCCTCTGAATTACTGGATCCACAAATGTGTAAAATTGTAAAAATGGAATTTGTGGGGCCTTTGGTGCTCTCTGAGCTTGGTGGTTTTCTTGCAAATGTTTCATTACTCACTTAGGGAGCATCATCACTGCTAACATGATGATGTTATCTAGTTTGGTAATAAAACGTCTGCAAGAAAACCACCAAGCTCAGAGAGCACCAAGGACCCCACAGCTCAACCCTGAGCTACAAATATTCTCCTCTATTGGTAAAATGGAACCTGAGGTTGGGTTCGGCACAAAGGACATGCTGGACAGGCCAAAGTCCAGCCTCAATCTGTCCCAGCTTCAGTTCCCACAGTTCCCATCAAGATGGCCTTAACACTTGGAGGATGAGTTTGGCATCGGCTCCTGCCGAGTCCAAGCATGCCCTCTTAAGAGACACCAGGGTGTGGACACCCACACAGCTTGGCTAGGGGAAGTGGCTGGTGCCCCTCCCAATCATGTCCCATCCTGCCTTTCTTCCAGGCATCTACAAGGTGGGGCATCACTGCCCAGGTGTGATTGCTGAACATCCAGATAGCGTTAGCAATAGCACTTAGACTTATATTCTGCTTCCCAGTGCTTTCCAGCCCTCTCTAAGCGGTTTACAGAGTCAGCCTATTGCCCCCAACAGTCTGGCTCCTCATTTTACCCACCTTGGAAGAATGGAAGGCTGAGCCAACCTTGAGCTGGTGGAATCTGAACTGCCAAATTGCAGGCAGCCGGCAGTCAGCAGAAGTAGCCTGCAGTACTGCACTCTAACCACTGCGCCACCATGGCTCAGATAACCTCTTCCTGACATTTCTCATGTTCTGGTGGCAACGAAAGAGAGGTTCAAACCCGGTAGAGTAGAAGACCTGTGGGTGAGTCTCTCACACGCCCCTTCCATCCAAAACAGCTCCTAGAAACTGACACGAGTACTCACAGATGCTCTGCAGAAGCCACTTCGGTTTGTTTTTCCACCAGACACCAATCAGGTACACGGGGACTCCGCTGAAGATGATGGCGAAGCCAATGGCACATTCTTTCGGGGTCATCCAGAAGGAGACGGCAATGAGGAAATTGCACGCAAGGACGAAGAAAATGGGCAACAGCAGATTAACCTGCGTGGGAGAACACAAGGAAGACCAAGCGTGTTAGAAGTAGGAACAACTCAAGAACCAAAAACCCACCAGACTTGTGCCAAGATCCAACCCGTCCCAAAGATCCTCGGATCTGGACTAGCTCCAGGACTGAAAATCTAGATCCCCCCCCAAACGGTCACTTTAAGCGGATCCCTTACAAAACCGGTCCCAGAACCTTCCATGTTAACGTCAGCCAAGCTCACCTTGATTGGCCTCTCTAACTCCGGTTTCTTGTACCGGAGCCACATCATGCCGATGATGGCCAGGGCCACACAGAGCCAGTTGAAGAAGCTGAAGAAGTTGATCACCGAAAAGATGTCATTGGAGAAGGCGTAGAGCAAAGTCATGAGGCACTAGAGATGGCCGGAGAGAGAGGGACGAGGAGAGAAATCAGTGCCGTGCAAGAGCTGAGGGACAGTCGCTTCAGAGAACGGGCACGTCAACCAATGCTTGCTTCATCCAAAGTTCAGAGACTCAGCAAACGTGGGGACAGAATGGTTGCAAATAGTGGATATTGTCCATCGGTGTGGGGTCTGCCGTTCTGAGCTCAGAGTGGGGCACAGAAGCAGACAGACAGACAGACAACGAGAGCTTCACAGAGGGGCAGGAGATCTGGAGAACTGGGGTCCACCAAGGAGAACCATGAGATGGTTGCATTCAAAATGTGATGCGTTGTTTGCCTGGGGGCTTCAAGGGAAGGAGAAGGGCCCAGAAGTTCTGGAGCACCCTTCTCACCCTCAAGGTGCAACACCAGCTTGTAGGCTTCCAAAACTGACACAACTCAGCAGGTGTGGAGTTATTGTTCAGGACTAGATACTTACCAAAGTTAGAAAGCCATGTTCTATTGAATCGGACAACGAGCTTCAATGCAAAAGCACTGAGATGGAATTTCCCCCCCACACACAGACACTGCCTGCCCCCCAAAGGAACCTCTGCACTCCTGCGAGCATCCTTACCGTGAAGACGAGGGAGGGCACAGGGGTGAGCAACCGGGGGTGGATCATGGACAGGACGGAAGGCAGGTGGCCTTCCCGAGCACCTACAAAGAAAAGCCTAGAAGAGATTAAATTAAAGTTTTAATGTATACTCTTTCAGCAGATAGATTTAAGGCTGTCCGGGGGTCTTGGAAGTTGCCTTGGGCTGTTTACAAGGTTTGAGGGTCAGGCCATTCCTATTTCAAGTGGTCAGTTTAGGAAAACTCTCAATGGGGGGGGAGGGGGCTGCCTCTTCTTCTCCTGAGAGGAGGAAGTCCTCTTGGACTGAGCAGCTCAGCTAGTTAGACCAGTTCTACACGCAGAAGCCACTGATTAAAGGTTATGGTTTATTTACATATCGCACTCGCACACTGCGCCAAAATAAGGACATTACAATAAGACCCATTAAAAGGAAGAAAGATCAGAGATGGCAAAGACCCCAGGCTGGATAGAATAAAGTGTGTGTGTGTGTGTGTGTGTGTGTGTGTGTGTGTGTTGTGGGGAAGGTCTCACAACCACTCATCAAAGACCTGGAGAAAAAGTGGCCTTCATGCTTCTTTCAAACAGCAGCAGACTGGGGCCCACAAAATAAGTTTATTTATAAAATATACGTATATATTGCAGTCCAACTCCTATATTTTGCTGGGAGGAAGGGATTAGATATCTGTCTAGCTATACCTATCCACCTATCTATCTATCTATCTATCTATCTATCTATCTATCTATCTATCTATCTATCTATCTACCTACCTACCTACCTACCTACCTACCTACCTACCTACCTACCTACCTACCTATCTACCTATCTATCATCTATGCATCTATTATATATCCATCCATCCATCCACCATCCATCCATGATCTATCTATATCTGTCTGTCTGTCTCTTAACAATTGCACGTTTTCCAGAATTTTATCCTGCAGGGCAAAATATGCATTAAGATCAGCTTCCATTTTTAGAGAGATGGTTTTATTCTCATTATATAGCAGAAACTTACCGGGACGAAGTGAAAAGGGAGCCGTTGACGGAGCCAAAGCAAGACAAACCCACAAAAACAGGGATAATCCAAGACATGATACCCAGGTGGTAATTTCCAAAATCCTATCGGCAAATAGGGAGGAAGACAGGAGATCAAACATTTCACCTCGAAAACTCCTGGAAGCCTAAGGAAAAGGCAGGTGGGATACAAAGGGAACTAAACTTGATTTGCAACCCAACAGGGAAAATGGGGAACCCTAAAGCTGCCTGTTCGAATTCTGCCCTGCAGTGGGTCTCGCTTGGTTTTTCCACATGGGGAGAGGCATAATTCTAGATAAATATTTCATAAGATTATCAGAGAGGATGGGCAGTGAACATGTAACCCCCAAAAAAGGGGCACTTCATATCAATAAAAGGAAGAAGTGGGCTGCATTCAGATGACCACGGGGAAAAATGACAAAGCCAGAGAAGCCATCTTGATCTTGAGCATCCCTTCCTGAATTATTGCATTTTACCACGGCAACAGCTTCTGACACCAGCATCTCGTTGACCGTCAAGGTGGTGAAGTAAGCCAGGTTGGTCAGCACGTAGACCAAGGTGACGATGGGCAGTGAAATGATGATGGCCAGAGGGAGGTTCCTGAAAGGAGATGGGAGAGCAGAGCTAAGAACATCTGGTTGACAGCTCTTCCTGTAGCTTCTGCCATAAGAATAGCCCCAAAGTCTACAGAGGCCATTTTCTCACCAACAGAACAGAGATGCAGAACGAGGTTTTGGAGACTCTCACCTGTAAGGGTTGATCATCTCTTCTGTGACAAAATTCAAGTAATTCCTGCAGTTTGAAAGAAGGGAAAAAAAGGTTCTTGAGTTTACAATACATAGTTGTCATGGTGGGGGGGGGGGGAAGTCATCTTGACTTTGTAGAATGAGAACAACATGGCAACTTAGGAAAGCTCTTTCTCTCACACACAAAACAAGAGGGCTCCCCAGATCAGGAGATCTGAAGGTCACAAGCTCTCCTTGCCCTGGGACTCCTTGTTCCCGATGGTAGCAGGTTCTTCTTCTTTTGGAACACAGAGGTGGAAACCCCAGGAGAACTTCCACCTGGCTCACAACTCTCGCCGTTCCTCACCACTCACCATCCTCCGTAGGCGAAGAGGCCGCTGTACAAGGCCAGGACGATGTTGCCAACGTCTGTTTTGGTGCCATCAAAGGAATGTTCAGGGCTGAGGTTGATGACATCACCTGTGGGAGTGAAGGAAGGCGAGCCAACGTAAGCGGCGGAGCCTTTCCCCTTCCCTGCAAAGGGGCTGGAAAGGTGGGAAACTATGGGAGCCGAAATGCGTTACAACTGCCCTAATTGGAACAGAAGAAAAACTCCTCTTGAAATTTATGAGCCCTAGAACTGCGGTTTCCATCTGCACAGCTAAGAGTACAATTTAAAATAGAATTGCCTATGGCCCAAGACACAATCTGAAAGCAGGCACATATGATGAGCCTCTTGCTCGCTGGTTGCTTGCCAAAAAAGGCCCGAAAGGGTTCTGAACATCCCACCCTACGGGACTCAAAGCAAACCTGAAAGCTGTTTCCCTTGGAGTCCCTGCATGCCCTTTGCATTGGGAGAAGCCCCTCACTCAGGATCTGGAATCAAAAACAGCGGAAACAGCCCAGGAACACACGGAGAAGGGAAGCTGGGCTTACAATAGCCTGGGAAATTGTTTTTTTCTTGAAGGTTCTTTCAAGACGCTTGCGGTGTTTATTTTACTTGCAAGGAACCTTTGGCAGAAGCAGGATTCCGTGCCTTTTGATCTGAAGGCCATACGCTTGTCCTAGCAGAGAGGGAAGGGGGGTTATTGCCTGGCCCTCCTCCAAGGAAGGAGCCCTCAGGTAGGGAGGGGGAGTTGGCCCGGCCACCCCTCAACTACCTGCCTCTCCAGCGAGTCCATCGCATGCCTCCTGCTGTGCCAACCGTGAGAGCTCAGCTCTTCGTCCTTTGCAAAACTCTCCATTCCATTAATTCATGGAAGGGCAGAAAGAGGAAAGAAATGGAGGGGGACCCCACCCACCTCCCATCAAAGGAGCTTTATCCCATTCACCACCAGTCTGGCACCATCTGACTCAGGCTGGTCAGTTAGATCACGAACGTAAGAAAAAGAGGACAACTGAAGAACCAACCAATGTGTCCCCTTCAAAGAGGTCCATCACCCAAGACTAGAAAGCCATCCTGGGCCCCATCCCTTCCTTCTGTCCACGTGCCAGTAGGAGCTCCACAGGAGTTGTAGGAAGATGTCATGTCACCCATATGGAAGCTGCTGTCTCTGAAATCAAGTGATGGTGGGAACTTGACAGGTTCAGACATGGTGCAAAGCAACCATCTGGTTTGGTTTGGTGGACTTTGGCTCAGCACATGTGTCAGCCCAGGTCCTTATGGTTTAACATGACCGACAAACTATGATTTTAGAGGAATGAATGAGCTTACTTACTTAAGTCATTGAGAGCTGCAAAAGAGAGCCATTTCCACCAAATTAGCTGTGGTCTCCAGATGAGAAACCCAATCCAAGACGCTATGAAGTCAACCCCAATATTTTCCAATCCTTGCCAGAAGGGGTGAGAAAACCTGCCCTCATTACTGTTATTTTGGCCCCACCATAGTTGATGAGCCCAGAAGATGTTAGAAGTTGCTAAAGAAGACATGATCTTAGTGGACAATAACCTCTGGCTTCTGCAGTTGTCCAAAGTGGCCTTCTCCATTTATATCTCTGCTTGGTCTCCCTGGCCTTCCGCTAATATAGACTCAACCAGATACCCAGAAGCACTCTGGAGACTCCACAACTGATGCCCAAATGGGCCACGATGGTCCTGCCACGGTGCCAGGCTCAACTATTTCTTTGGTTCCGCTCGTCTCTAAAATTAACCAAACCAGACTTGACAAGCTCCATCCCGCCTGCAATCCTTAAGTGGCCAAAACTGCAGCCAGTGGCAACATGCCCTTTTAATGAGAATATGGAGGTATTTAGGAGAGGAAAATAGCACCACTGTCCCATTTCATGCCCGGGAGACTCATTTTTAGATCGCATCTGTACAAGTCGGCAGAAAGAGGCTATTAAGGGAGATGATTGAAGCCGGCGTGGAAAGAGCTACAAGAGCAGTTGAGGGAACTTGCAAGATGAAAGACAACCAGGGAAAGTTCAAAGGCTCGGTCTGAAATTGGGGTGGAATGTAGTCTGGATTCCCAGGAGGGAGGGGCTGCCTCCCAGAGGGCAAAGAGGCAGCGGAGTTTGCAAAGCCTGGTAGGCAGAAGGAGGGTGAAGATGGCCCCTCCCTAGCACTTCACAGGCTGTAGTTATGCAGATACTAGTCTGTCAAGAGTCTGTCCGTAGACAAACGACAATAAAGCAACTGCACTGTCTGGTGCTTGGTTCTTGGGACCTGGAAGAAATGCCTTCACCATGGACGCGAAGGAGGTCTCCATACGGCCAATTTTCACCCAGGGATGCAAAGTGCGTGGACTGAGGTTCCAGGTTTGAGTACAGGCAGATCGTCCGTGGGAGAGTATCAAGATTAGCTATTTCCCCACCTGGGAACATCCCCCCTAAACAATGTGGGGCCAACCTTGCAAGAGCTTCTCATTGTGTCTCTGCCACTCTTCCCTTCAGAAGCTGCTCACAGGCCAGGACAAGAGGATCTTTGGGCCAGGTAAGCAAAGAGCAAATCAGAGCAGATTCCTGGGTGACGGGCACATGGGACAAAGCTGGCACATCCGTCCTCATGAAAATACATCCTGCCAGGCTGTTGGTGCGAAAGAAAACAGAGCAGGATAAGCAACCCAGGCCCCCTTAGACGTTGTGGATTACGACTTCCCAAGCGGAGGCTGCCGGGAGATGAAGGCCACAGTAACGGAGAACTTCTGGGCTGGTCCACCACCATCACTCAAGGAGTCGAGAAGGTCCTTTCCTGGTCCCCCATCAGCAGAAGCTGCACCACTTGCCTTTTTCTCAGGCCTCCAACCCTCCAGATGCCACAGCACACCCCATTCATGTAACGGCAGGAAACGCAAGACCGGGCTTCTCTCTGTTTATGGGGCAATAAACTAATTTCCCCACGCACCTCCCTACAGAAAAGGTGTGGCAAGCAAAGCTGGTTGACAAGACACCTACGGGGCCTCATTATTCCCCATTGCCGAGGCCAGAGCCACAAGTACAATGGGGGCCCCACGGCCTCCGTCTCTGCTGAGCTAACCACAAATTCTTCACTCCGCTTGAAAGCCGACAGGATTTGCACACGGTTGGGAAAGGCCCCAGGAGGCCGTGGCTGCTGCTGCCTGGATTCCCACGGATAAGGCGGGGCTGCCCCACCCAGGGCAAGAGAGAGAGGCTCCTCTTCCCACCGTTGCCCCTGCCCTGGGCTCCAAGGGGCAGCAGCTTCCAGCTGGAGTGAGTGCCACTGCCCAATGCCAGCCGTGCCAGGGATTTACTCCGCCTTGGCTGGGTTGGTTGAATCAATGCAGGCGACAAGGCGGCTTGTCTCGTGGTCCTGGCTTGCCAAGAGGACTTTTGGGAAGAAATGCAGACCTGGCCTTGGGGCAGAGAAGGGGGGGGGGGGGGAGGGGGGGGGGGGGGGACTAGCAGAGAGAAACCCAAAACAATCCCACCATCGTCTCTTTGAGCATAAAACCAGCCAGAGAAACCTGGAGACGCTTTCAAGGTCCTGATTTTTTTTCCTGTCCTGCAGTGATGAAAAACATCCCTGGGAAACCTCCAACATTCAGACGAGGGACGAAGGTGCAAAGGTCTCAAAGGTACTTCCCCCCCCCCTCCACCCCCAACTGGAAGCAACTGGACTTCCTTGGGGTTTTTTTTTTTTTTTTGAAAGGTTTTTGTTTTCCACCCAAAAAAAATCCCCCCGTTCTGAGTGGGGGGGGGGGGGGGGGAATGGAAGATAGAAGCGAAGAAGCTTCTTGGCTGAGAAGCGAAACATTTTCAAGGGGAAAAAAAAAACAGAGAAAGTCCAGTTGCCTTTTGCGGGGAAAAATAGCACTTTGGGCACAACCACCACCTGAATGACTGAGAATCTCCACAGACAAAATGCCAAGCCTCTTCCTCAGTTGCAAGGCTGGCGCCAGCCAGATCAAGATCCAGTGTTCTGGCTAATGCCTCAGGCCCGGCAACCATCTTTACGGCCAGGAACGCCTTCCCCTGTGGCTGCATCTTTTCGCAACCCAGAGAGAACTGAAGAAGGTGATGGAAGAGCAAGCCAGCTCCTTACAATCCTGGTGTCAGGTTTCGAGGTTGTCTCAAATAAATTGCATTTCAAATAAAGTCTTTGATGAAAAAAACTCCTATTTATTAAGCATGACATTCTAAAATCCGACTCCATCGAAGCCAACACTGACTTCCAGACCCAAAACCCTCTCTTTCCGTTCCACACTCCCCTGCACTCATTGGCCATCTTCCAAGTCACTCTACCCCTAATCTACTGCTCCAGCTCAAAGAAATTTCCCCCCTCCCATCCCATCTCCTAGGGGATATTATCTCCAGGGAAAATAAGTAGGTGAAAAGTCAAACGTCCCTTTCCAGACGCCTCTGCTTCTCCTTCTTATGTCAGTACTAGAGTAAAATGCAGCTTGAAGTGCTGACATCTGGCCCTATAGCCCAGGGCTCACCAACCTTGGCAACTTTAAGACTTGTGGAGTTCAATTCCCAGCTTTGCTGGCTGAGGGATTCTGGGAATTGAAGTCCACAAGTCTTAAAGTTGCCAAGGTTGGCGAGTCCTGGGCTACAGCCGAATACATGCAACCAAGCCTCCAGCTGGAATTTCATAGGGCTGGAATCAATGGGGCTACCTGTACGTCTCCATCAAGATGCAAAACCAATTAGACAAATTCTTCTCCTGCAACCTCGAACCTAAGATTTATCCTGCAACCTCAAGACGGTTTCACCCAGATCCGTTTTGCTAGCCAACAGATTCTCCCCGAGCTTTCCGAGATCAGGTCTCTTTGAAAGCCACTTCCAAGGATTTAAAAACCGCTTGCGCTGTTCTGCAGCGGCTTCTCCAAGCAGACCATTTTAAAGGGGTGGGGGTGGGGGAGGGGGAGGAGGAGACAAGGAGCTAAATTGCGCAACGTCCTTCCTTTGAATTGGATTTGCATGGGTCCCAGAGCATTCGTCTGGAAGTGGAAGACAAACTGTCTACTGAAGTGTAAGTTCTGGCATGCAGGCAGATGGGGAAAAAAATAATAATAATTCCCTTTCTGGGAAGGAAAAGCAGTTCAGCCACTCTGCAGTGTCCTCACGTGGCCTTACGTGTGTTTCAGGAAGGGAAGGGGGGTTTCCCCCTGCAATGTGCGGCTGACGTACATTGATGTAAACCCCATCTCTGGGGAGGAGGGGGTGTTGTTGCAAGAGCCACATAGAAGCAATGAGGAAACTAAAAGCAGGGCTGGATTTGGAGGGGGGAGGGGTTGGGGGTGTCTTTGTCCAAGTCAAATTCCGGATGCAAATGCCTCTCTTCCAGCTTTCCCACAAAGCTCCATTTTGAGTCACTTATCCATTAGCATATTGGCCTTTGGCCTTACAAAGATGCCGCAATCTGGTTTACAGAAGCCTAGACCCTCCCAAAACACCCCCCCCGCGGGGCAGTTTAAGAAGCACTTCAACCACTGTCTGGGCCCTCAAGAGCTGGGATCCTAATATCGCAGCCTGGAGATTACACAAACCAGTGTTTTTTTTCAAACTTGGCAACCTTAAAATCTGTGGACTTCGACTGCCGTTCCTTAAAATTTACGCAAAGTACAGAATTTGGATGAAAGACTCAATAAACCCTCAAGGTTGTAGAGTAGACGGACAATTGGGGGTGGGGTGGGGGAATTCCAGAAGAAGCCCTAAAGCAGAGGTCTGCAAATTTGGCAACTTTAAGACTTGTGGACTTCAACTCCCAGAATTCCTCAGCCAGCAAAGCTTGGAGGTCATCTACTCCAGGGGTCTCCAACCTTGGCAACTTTAAGATGTGTGGACTTCAAGCTTTGCTGGCTGAGGAATTCTGGGAGTTGAAGTCCACAAGTCTCAAAGTTGCCAAGGTTGGAGATCCCTGTTCTATGAGGACAAGGAGATCTGCATTCCTTTCTTTTTAAACAATCGTGCCTTAGAGGGTTTCACTCCCACCTTAATTCCACCTCACAAAAGGAAACTTTCTTTCTTCCCAAAGTTTCCTATCCTCCTTATCGGCTCATCACTAAATCCAGAAAAAGAGGGTTGAGGAGCCATTTTTGCCAATGGCAAGACATTCCCGAGAGTTTTGTGTCACGAGGTCTTCCCCGTGAAGAGGAAAACAGCACAATTAACAAAGTTAGCTTTATTCTTTAAAGAATAAATATAAAGAAAGAATAAAGTCTCCGGACTTCCTCTAGAGATCTTAATTTCTGATTAATTAATCAGATTAATCTGATCTCCTGGGTCTCTCTGTTCCAAGCTTGAGAGACCTCTGACCCGTTTTTTAGATAGTCCCATATCCATCCATCCTTCCATCCACTCACCCACCAACTTACCCATCCATCTATTCCTCCATCCATCCATCTATGCATTCCTCCATTCATTCATCCATTCATCCATTCCTCCATCCATCCATCTATTCATTCCTCCATTCATTCATCCATCCATCCATTCCTCCATCCATCTATTCATTCATCCACCCACCCATTTATTCATCAGTTCAGAGCTACAATGAACTCTGAACACTTCTGATGAAGTGAGCTGCAGCTTATGAAAGCTTGTGCCTATTTCGCCCAGAAACATTAAAATGTGTTAATTGGAAAAGGTGCTAGCCTACTCCTCCTAATTTTTGTGACCCACAAGTAGCTTATATGTAGAGAGTAAAGGAGGTGACCTTAACGGACATATGGAAGTACCACAATCTAAGGCAGTGATGGCCAACCTTTTCGGCACTGAGTACCCAAACTGGAACATGCATGCATGTGTGGCAATGTGCTCGCATTGCAGCGCCAGAAACCTGAAGATCAGCTGGCTGGAGCGCACATGCCTCTTTTTAGGCCATTTTCAGGCTGTTTTCAGGCTGGTTTTGGGCCATTTTCAGGCCATTTTGGGCTGTTTTTCGGGCTGTTTTCAGGCCGTTTTCCAGCGCTCCGGTGCTAGTGAAGACCAGCTGGCCAGCGCACGTCCCCACAGAGAAGGTTCTTTATGTCACCTCTGGCACACAGCCATTGGTTCACCATCACAGATCTCAGGGGTTTTCCTAGAAGAGTTGAATCTTCAGAGGAACGGTGGATTTAATCTTGAACTGGGGCTTTCAATGCAGTGGAAAAAGCTGGAGTTGCTGAAATGTTTTTGAAATGATTGGATTTAAAAAAAAAAGAAAGAGCCCCACAGAACACGTAGAGTCACTTTAGACTTCAAACAAGGAAACCTGTCCAAAACAAGAGGTTTGGTGATAAGGAAACCGAAGAGGAATGCAAAAGGGGCCAAGCTTCTCCAAAATGTCAGGACTTACTCAATTGCACAATGAGAGAAACTCACGGAGAATGTGTATCACAGGTCAGGAAAAAAAATACGACCGAACAGAAGGTTATTCGAAAAATGGAGATTTCCTTTGAAATATAGAAGTCTTCTTTAAATAAAGAAAGGAATAAAAAGGAATAAGACCTTAGGCGGGGGGAGGAGGGAGGGATTAACAAAAAGGATTGCTATATGAGGTCTTCGAGAACATTTTCCCTAACACTAATGTAAAACAAGGATTGAAATTGTCTTTTGATCAGAATTAGGAATCTGGTTAAGGACCATGGATAAAAAGGGAGTTACAGATATCCCAAAGCAGGATTGTCCAACCATGGGACTTTTAAGATGTGTGGACTTCAAATCCCAGAATTCCCCAGCCAGCGTTGGGAGTTGAAGTCCACACGTCTTAAAGTTCCCAAGGATGGACACCCCTGTCCTAAAGGAAGATTTTAAGAAATTGCAGTGTGTTTTGCTTCCTTTTACGACCTTTCTTGCCACAGTTGTTAAGTGAATCAATGCAGTTGTTAAGTTAGCACACGGTTGTTAAGTGAATCTGGCTTCCCCGTTGACTTTGCGGGTCAGAGGTTCGCACAAACTGGATCGCAAGAATTCTTTTCGAGTTCCTTCATCACCAAAGTGGCCAGACAGAATCCCCAAGCATCTCATCTGACCCTGGGATTTTCAGGAAGGAAACCTTACCTAAGGAGGGTCACAAAATTAAGAGAAGGGCTGCGGGGCAACTGAAAAGGAAATAATAATCACCCCCTCCCCCCACAGCATGAAATCAAAGCTGTCCGAAGAACGCTTCATTTGAAACAGCAGCCAATGTTTTTAGAAGTGGCTACGGGAAATTACTGGGCTACAAACCAAGAATGTTAGCTATTCCTTCCACCATTAGCAGCTGTCGCGTCTCCACACAAGGAACAAGTTGCCCTTAGAGGTTGTTTGTTGAGTCACTTGTGGCCCTACAACATTGGCTCAGTCCTCTTCCAAGAAGAGTTTTTGTAGGCATATATATATATATATATAGTAGATGTGATTCTACTGAGCTGGAGCTACAAAAAAAAACCTTGGCTACGTAGGAAAACCTGGCTAGAAGATAGATAGATAGATAGATAGATAGATAGATAGATAGATAGATAGATAGATAGATAGATAGATAGATAGAGGGTGGCCAAAGGGAATTAAGTGACCACGCCCCCCCCCGCAACCGTCATAAGTACATGCCAGTTGCCAAGCCTTTGAATTTGGATCAGCTGGCTGTGGGGATTCCTCCACCATCGCAAGTGTGAAAAATAAGTCGCTTTTTCTTTTCAGTGCCGTTGGAACTTCAAACGGTCACTAAACGAATGATGGGAAGTTGAGGGCAACTTGTATGTTTTTGCTCAAAGGCATAATGCAAAGGTCTTCAAACTTGGCAGCTTTAAGACTTGTGGACTTCAACTCCCAGAATTCTCCAGCCTGGAGAATTCTGGGAGTTGAAGTCCACAAGTCTTAAAGCTGCCAAGTTTGAAGACCTCTGCCATAATGCTTTGATTTTTCACAGGTGGGAGTGTGAGGAGTCCCGGGCTGTGTAGCTACTTAAAATGAATCTGACTCCCAGAAGCCCTGAACTGGCTTCTGCCCCCCCCCCCCCCCCCCCCCCCCTGGAGGGGGGGGACCCCCCCCCCCCCCCCCCTCCGAGAGCAGATACGTACCCTTCCCGAGCTGCACAAAGCCGAGAGTGATGATCAAGGCCAGGGCCAGGAGCTTGGCGGCTGCAAAGGCGTCTTGCACACGAGTAGCCGCCTTCACGCTGTAGCAATTGACCGCTGTGAGCAACACTGGAGGGAAACACATCAGAAAGAGCAATGAGTAAGTAAAGCTGCAGGCGTTTTTTTCCCCCCCACCAAAACGGCATGGCTCAGGAGCTGAAGGCCAAAAGTTCATACAAAGTAATCCCACTAGCTTAATATGATTATTTTCCACGTAATTAACAGCTTATCATAACTCACAAATACAGGAAGGAACTACATGGGATCACGGTGGTACCCAAACCAGCCAAAGCCTTTTGAAACATCTTAAGTCAACCAAAAGACCCAGCAGCCCCAGAAGAAAAAACAGGAGTCATCTACAACATGTAGTAGGGAAAAGACTGTAGTAGCTACTATGTAGGACAGAGAGGCAGAAGGCTGGCAGACAGCATCCATGACCACAGGCAGAAGACACGATGAAAACTTCTGAAATGCATTAACATGTGGACAGATTTAACCATAGTTTCAACCGGGAAACTATGAGTATCCTAGACGGAGCTAAATCCAACAACAGCAGAGAATTCCTGGAAACTCGGCATTCAGATAAATCAGCCTTCAACAGATAAACTGCATTTAGACACCATTCAAAAGCTAAGAAGAGGGAAACAGAAACACCAGAATGCATCCTCTCCAGCAACCAATAGTGAGATAAGCAGGGATTAACATTAGACAAACACTCAAGCAGAAAACAAGAATCGAAGAGCTACCAAGGAGAAAGCTGCAGCCAAACAATACAGGCAGGGCAAGCCACCGTAGATAAACAGGGAACAAACCAGGGGTGAAATGCTACCGGTTCAGGCCGGTTCACCCGAACCGGTAGTAAAAAATGCTTTAAAAAGAAAAAAAAAAGTTCCGAAGATCAGCTGTGCGACACACGATCCTCAGAACTTTTTTTTAAACAAACTTTTTAAGCATTTGTTTTCTCTCGAACCAGTAGTTAAAAATGCTTTAAAAAGACAAAAAAAGCAGGAAATCCAAAAACATGCACCTGGTGTGCACTACACATGCGTGGGCAGCGAGCCGGTGGCGACCCACGGAGGATTTCACCACTGGAACAAACCCTACATTCAGCAGCACTGGTGGCATTATCTAGCAGGGTAATGAAACGTCTGCAAGCCAGCCACCAATCTCAGAGAGCACCACAGAACTCCTCTGGGCAGATGGCATCCTTTTGGGTATTGATACATGGATGTGGAAGAAAATCAGTGTCTAATAGCACCTTGGCCAGCTTCTGCCTTTGAGAAGGCTTAATTCCACACTGTTGCCCCAGATGTACCCGTTTGCTCTTTGTGCCCTGCTACCCTGGGTAACGCTAATGCAGCCTTTCAAGGCTGGAGGCAAAGGACCAGATCACCCCGATTGATTGATTTGCTTTTTAAATAAACTGGGCTTTCTCTCCCGCTCTGAGCCATTGTTCTGTGTCCCACACCGAGCACTCCCCGCGCTAAGCACCCAGGACGAGCCCCAGATAAGGAAGAACTTCTCGGCTTTGCGTACGTTCTTGAAAAGACTTTTCTGATGCAATTCTCAATGATCTCTTAAGGTGGATGGGGAAAAGGAGAGGGCTGCTGCTTCCCCTTCTTCGGAAGAGATGAGTCGACTCCACTTCCGCCTCCTTCCCTTCCTGGCTCAAGCAACAGAGACAGGCGGTTGCATCAGGCACCCCCGCCTGCTCCATTCAGCCGCCTTGGCGGTTTTTCCCCTCCCCACCCCGTGTTTGCAGAGTTCGGGCAGCCAGCCAAAAGTGGCAGAAGCCGAGAAGGTGCTCTCCTAAGGTGGGAACTGCAAATGTTACAGGGCCCAGGGCTGCTATGGCGCTAAATATAATCCCAGGCACGGGGTTGCTCGCTTCTGCAAACAGCAGAGAGGCCCACTGCTAGCTCCTGTAGATCTCCACTTTCTTAGCTGGAAGACTCTGGACATTTCTCTCTCGTGCTCTTTTTAAAGTATTTAGAGACTCAGATTTGCAAGGAGGAGACTTAATCCTTTGAGCCCACAAGAGCCCAAACCAGTTTGAGTAACAGCACAACTGCAGCCAAGAAGCTCTTGGTTTCAAACGGGGCTTACTCCCCACTGGATGTTCAGCTAAGGGACTTAGAACCTTTCCAGGAAATTCCCCCCCGAGGATTAAAGCCCATCTCAGCCCTTTGGCTTTGCAAACATGGAGATCGCCGTGCATTATCTCCAGAGGGTTCAAGGGAGCACTGCAACGAGACAACTGGAACTATGAATGCCCCCCCAAAGTACACGTTCCAATACCCATAAATGAACATATGCAAAGCGGGTCATTCTCCAGAGTTGAGGCTGGGGCTGTTGGGATTTGTAGCTCTCGACATTCGATAAGCTAAATATTCTTGGACTCAATGGATGGAACCCCTTTTGTCATCTGTAAGAACAATGGCCTTAAGCCTCCACTTGTCATTGACACAAACAACTGAACCTCCTTGGTGGATCAAGCAAGGGTTGCTTGTCGAGAGAAGCAAAGAAACCTGGAGCAGCCGCGCTGTTGGGGTGGAGGGGCCATACCAGCAAGGAGGGGGGATTTCTCTTTATTTACCGCCCCCACTTCCAGTCCAACAACTGGCCATTCTTTCCATTTTACCTTCTGACCCGTATGAGGGGAAGGAGGTCTACAATCCGTAGACTTGGCCTCACAAGATTCTGGAAGTGAAAGATAACCATTATCGGTGGGGAACAAATATGGAGATTAGACCACATGGTGAGACCATGTAGACCGGGAGGGAGGGAGGGAGGGGGAGGTTTAAAATGAATGTCAACAACAAAGCTCCAATCATCTCTTCAACATGCCCCACCCCCCTTGGTGGTCTCTTACATCTATCTCGACCCCAGGCAAGAACAGGAAAACCACCGCCAGCCTCAAACGTTTCTTCTTCTCCAAAAAGACCAATACATCAGGAGACGTCATTGGAGCCTTATGAATTCAACGTTTTCAGACCAACTTTAGAAGAGGACAAAGCCCCCTCCTGGACAAGGTTGAACCCCTTTTTTCTCTTCAAGACTTCACTTGGGCTGAATTTAGGAGCTTACAAAAGAATCCCGCCATCGGTTGACTAGAAATGGGTCAAGAATGTACCCCAACTGAGATCAAAGAGTTGGCAAGGACAACCCCAAGCTGGTGAGAGACTGGCATCCTCTTCTTCAGCTGCCCCCAAAACCTGTTTGTCGGTTTCATCCCTGTAAATAGACCTTTTGTTCCAATAGGCTTGTGACCCACTTTCTAAATCATTATAATCCAAGAAGGCCGGTCACTCCAGAACAAGGTTTGGTTTTTTTTTTTTAAAAAAAAAAAAATCAGGATGGGAGGAAGAAACCAAGCCGAACTGTGTTTCTTTGCCTTGAATGCCACTAACCGTCCTGCGTGCAAAGAACCCAACCAAGGATCTACCAGCTATTTGGCTGGCAAGCAGCCAAGCGTCTTGTTGCAGGTAGCTTATTTAAATCCGAGCCTTGTCCAAGATCATCCCCCAGGCCTAACCCAAATCCCAGGGTTTTTGCTTCAAAGAAATAGAAGGCTGGATATTCACCCAGGATATTAAAACTGGATTAAAACACATCAGATGCCAAGGAGAAAAAAAGAGGCATTTGAGCGAAGTGCAAAACCTTCTCATTACTTGCACTACAAGAACTTCTGCAACTGAATTATTTCCAGTTTTAAATTCATCTATCCCTTCACCAAGGGGTGTCCAACCTTCCCAACTTTAACCCACTTTTCGTACAGTTGTTGTGTTTTAAAGTTCCTATCCAGGAATTGCTAAACCATCTCTCCTGGCCTTCAATTCTCTTTGATTTGTTCAATATATGGAACAAGCGAGCAGGGAAATCCTCTTATAAGAAGGAACACCAAATTAACTTGTTTTCTGGGTCCTCCCCTGGGCTGGAACCATAAATTAACCAGAGGAGCTGAGTTCGACAAGCAAAAATAACTCAAGGTTAACATTAATCAAATTTTGCTGAGGGTGTAATCTTAACCAGATGCATTATTGCAATTCTGGCCTGCTTTACAAAGCACATGTTTTTAATTTGATTTGACATGTTGGGTAAACTCCAGCCCCTGGGTTTTCAGGCCGTGATTTAGGATCGAGTGTGTTGCACAAAGTTGGCCCATTGCAGTTGATCCTCAGTTCACATAATGCAGAAACCCAACCACTGGTCTGGAGTAGAGAAATAAGAGGCACGGAAGTTGTGACGAACAACGATGACTCCTGCTTTTTGGGTGAAACAACCATCCATCCACCGAATTGTCCCGATTGTAAATTGTAGGAGGTGCAATATGGGCACAGTTATTTCTGGAAGGTCTAAAGGTCTTGTAACATCAAGACACACCTAGTCAACAGTGAGATGCAGCGAGCGGAGCCTCTTCAGACAGATTTGCAGGGCCCCCTGTCAGGTTTTCGGATGTGATGTATTTTTGCTTTGCTTCCGGGCGAAGAAATGGCCAGATAAGCTGTGCGTTAAGATCTTGCACAGTCAGGAAAAAACAACTGCACCGCAGATTGTACAGTTGTAAAAACAAAGAAAGATGGGAATGAGCCAATCGACAGAGACGGAGATGCCAGAAGATTCAAACGTTATTTCTCTCCATCAGGTTTCTTCTACAATCACTGCAGTCCCTGGAATTCTTGGCAGGGAGCCTCACTTTCTCCAGCAAAAATCTGCCTGATCTGCAGTTCTTGGCAACTCGCTTGTGATTCACACTCGCCTGCGGGACGGAGGGTGGTAGAGGCCACGCTGCGGTCCACGGATTCCCCTCCCGTGCGGAGAACTTCAAAAGGCCTTCCCAGGTTTCAGAAGCTGCCCGTCCTTTATCACTGCCCAATCAGGGTGGAAAAAGGACAACTGAGGCACCGAACATGTTCTCAGCATGCCAATACGGAGAGATCGAGTTGCTTTTCCCATCACCTGAAGAGACTCTGAGTAACAGTGAACCAAACCTGGCCAGGTGCATTGAGCAGGAAAAAAGGGGGTTAGCGAGGACCATAGGGGGAGTGGCACTTTTACTCGCACAAATTGTCAAGTTTTGCACCAGAAGAGCAAACAAGAAGGTCTTGGTCTCCAGTAGGTCCAATTCCAACATAGATAACTGCATTTTTAAAAAGATAACTCAGATATGTTTACCTAAGCACCAGGTAAAAAATTTAAGTCCACAATGTTAAAAGCCTGTTTCCAAATTCCTATGTTACGCTGGTGCTGCTTCAGCAATTAGCTGACCGTGGGCCAAACTTGGCCCGGAAATAATGCCAGGGTGGCCCAACAGGCAAGAAACCGGCCCATCCATGCCAGTCAGAGATCAGCCAATAACCTCCAGAGCCGCTGCCATCCTTGCAAATCTGCAGCTAAGCTGATCAGCCAAAAAAAAAAAAAAGGAAGACAAACATCCCAGACGTCATGTGCACAGTTGCTGGGCAACGCCAGCGCGGGCGGCTACAGATTCTGTCGTAACCTAGCAGCAAGGTGGGAGCCCATGTGGTTGCTGAGCAACGGCACATGATGCCCCCCTCCCCAATCTCGCGTGCAGAGGCCTTCCTTCTGTCCACCTCCCTGCAGCGCCTCAAATCAAAACGGGCACCGGCGGGAGGAGGAAGCAGCGGTAGCAGCTGCAACCGACCTGACGCCACGTGGTATATCGCCACCTTTTGTGCATTGTCTTATACGTGGCACCATTGTTTCCACTTGGTTTTAATCTTTTGAGGGGCCGCAACTGCAGGCCTTGTCGAAATAGATCAGCACAGTATCGAGTGCCCACGTGGGCATTTAGCAGGCACATGGTGCCATTGCCGGACTAAGCCCAATTCTGATCGCACAAGGTCCTTCAATTTTTGCAGTGAAACCCGCACAATTTCTCTATTATGATTTGATTGCTTATTTGTACCCTATGACTATCATTAAGTGTTGTACCTTATGATTCTTGACGAATGTATCTTTTCTTTTATGTACACCGAGAGCTTATGCACCAAGACAAATTCCTTGTGTGTCCAATCACACTTGGCTAATAAAGAATTCTATTCTATTCTATTCTATTCTATTCTATTCTATTCTATTCTATACTATTCTATTCTATGATCACTTGGTCCATCCTGTTTTGCAGAAAGTGAGTGGACGTAAAAGAAGGGAGCCCTCTCTGCCCCCCCTTGGGGTTCTCTCTCTAGCCAAGGGACCCCTTAAGTAGCCCATCAAGGAGACCCCCTGGGGAAGTCCTGCAGACTCAGAGGGGGCTTCATTCATCAAGGGGTCTTCTTTGTAACCTGTTTTCCAGCCTAAACCACAATTCCACCATGTTGGTTAGTGGGAAGGACCTTGGGAGAGGAGGAAGAAGGGTCAATCCTAGCCAACTCTCCTGCAAAAGGCATCTCAGCGCGCAGAACGAAAAGAGGCACGGGAAGCTGGCTGCAAAATAAACATTAAGGCAGCGCTTCCAGCTTTGCAGGATTCCTCTACTACAAGCTTACAATCAAAGTAGTCATAGTATGTGTTTCTTGCCTGTCCTTCCTCAGAGGGCTGATCGTTAGCATGCAGGGCAAACGAAGAAGAAGACGAGGAGGAGGAGGTGATCCTTTGAGAAGCTGGCCTGCAGCACGCAGATAACCTCCTCTCCGTCTTCATAGGGTGGTGATGGAAGAGACGAACCCTCAACTCTGAGGACAAAAAGGCCTCCTTGATGCCATCAAGACTTTCTCCCGCAGTTGGGAGGTTGCAGCCATTTTAAAATCAAGCCAATGAACAGCCCTTTCTAAGCACGGTGGCAATGCCACTCTTTGCCTTCTGAGGAGCCTTGGGCTTATCTCCAACTGTCACTCTCCCATCCGCCAATTGCAGACTGTAACAATCTTTTAAGGCTGCCCAGGGCCCTCCTCCATGAACTGAAGCATCGGGAGACCAAGAGGCGGAAGACTGATGGAAATCCATCAACCGGTTGAGTGAGCAAAGGAACAAAACCAGTCAATCTTCCCTGGAGCATCCTCTTCAACCCGGTGCCCTCCAGATGTGTTCATCGTCAAGAAAAGGCCTTCCCCACCAAGCTGCCCCTCCAAGAACCTTCTCTGCTTTCACTCCTTCTCTGGAGTTTTCCCCCAGCCGGGAGTTGCCATTTTACTGGGCCAAGGAAAATTCTGCAAAAGTGTGGCACGATTCTAAGAGCTCCTCTGTCCTCAAAGATAGTTAGGAGGTGGGGGGAAGACAAGAGGTGGAAAAGTGACTTAAACGCACAGCCACAACTGCACCGGGTTTCAGGCGTAGATAGAAGGGGTGTAACCAGACATGCAAATTTGGCCTTATCAATAATTTGGTATGAATTGTGGGAAAACAGAAAGGTTTTCCAAATGCTCCTTTAGCACTTAACTATTCAGTTCTTCTTGGGATACTTAAAATTTGTTTTCTGTCCTTCTTCAAAACGGATGGGGATTTTTGATAGCCGCTTTGTGTCCTAAGAAATGGGTGGCATATAAACTCTTAGGCAAGGTGGGGAGGGAGGGAGGGAGCTCAAACAGGGATTTTGGCTCAAGGAAGTTGAAGAAGAAGCTCAATCATTTTATTCAGCAACTATAAAGCCAGTAAAAGGTATGCGTGTGTGTTTGGGGGGGGGGAAATAACCCCCACCCCAGATTCCATTCCATTGAGCAATTCACTGGAGACAGATGAAGATCCAAAGAGCTTCAACCACATAATAGACAATCTGAAACTCGGGGTGTCACTTCCCTTCTCTCAAGGCGTCGTCATGGCATCCTAGATTGCTATCCCATCATCTTCAACCAGCATGGATGCCCACAGATCAAAAAGATAAAACTCTTATCAAAAAAAGGAAGGCTCTTTGAACGTTTTGCAGCTACATTCCACAGATTACACCCCACTGTGGTTTAGTCTCAAGTCTTGCATCATCCAACCGATCATGGATTATTTAGCAAGCTATGTTGAAACAAACCATAGTTTAGCATCAGCACAAATCCTGCCCACCTGTTTTTGAGCCCTTTTAGAGGGAGAAGAGAAAGAAGCAGAAGACCCTCCTGGGAAATAGGGTAACTCCCAGGCAGAAGTCAGCTTGCTTGCAATTTCTGGATTCCACATCTTCACTCCCAGCCTGGTTTTTCTGCCTGGGACCTTGAGAAATTGTTATCAAGCAGAAATAAACAGTGGAGGCCCAGATGGATACAAAGGAGCTTGTCGGAATTTGCAAACAAACTTGGAAACTTGGTGATTGCCGTTTCCCCAAATAAATGCAAAGCATCCCAGCGAAGCTTACAGGGACTGAAAGAGAGAAGTGCCCCAGGCTTCTGGTTTTCCACTAAGCACCTGCACCGGGGAAGCCCCCCCCCCCACTTCCCGTGTCTGTTGCAGATGAGCGCTAAGAGGGCAGGGAGTGGATGCGAGGATCCCAGGAGGGCCCCTTCTTTCCGAAGGCAGGTCCAGGGTTTCTCTCCCACGTGGAGAAAGTCAGCCGCTTCCTCCAAGCGGAGCAAACTTCCAGCCCCTCCTTGCAGGGGGAGGAAGGACAAGCAGAGGGAGGGGCTTCCCATCCCGAAGCCCCACCCCCACCGACACAACATGAATCTCCGGTTTTGGAAGAGAAAAATCAAAGCCCCCTCCGGATTCAACGGGAGCATCTGCGCGCTTTGGCCAAGGAGGGCGCGGGGTCTCTTTCTCCCACGGGGGGATGGGGGGAGAAGGGGAGCGGCAAACCTCCCCTCCATCTGCAACGAAGCACAATGTGGTCGGCCCCAATTTTCTGCCGGATGCGGCGCAGAGCATGCAAACCACGTCAGAGCCGCCCGGAGACGGAGATGGCCAAAGACGCAGGGCTACATTGTGGGACGAGAAACGGGCGGGGGTGGGAGAGAGCTTGGCGGTGGGGAGGAGGGAAGGGGCAGCCAAGGAGGCAGTTGGGAAAGGTTGAGCCCCTTGCAGAAGGGCAGAAGAGGCTTGGAGAGCCTCAACCAGATAGCTGGGATTTGGGGGGAGATTCCTGGAAACCCTTTACGGGGGGGGGGGTTGGAATATAGAAAGGCGACCTGACGGGGGGGCGATTTCCCCAAGCAAGGCTCCGCTGCAGCCTGGCCAAAGACCCCCTTCCTGCTTGGCTCCGGAGCCCAGCGAAGTTGGCATCGCAAGCAGCTCCGAAGCCGCTGACATTCGGCGTTTGCAGACTCAGCGCCGCTTCGCTTGGCCGGGACCGGGACCGGGATCCGAGCGGGGGCCGGGCAGGGCAGGCGGAGCCTCGGGGAAACTTTTCCGGACTCCCGCGAGCCTCGGCCGAGGGTGGAGCGCGGCGCTTCCCCTTCCCGGGCTGGGCAGGAGGGCGGCTGATGTCAGCGCCGCTTCCCACGCCGGAGGGCCGCCGGTTGCGCAGCCCGGCCAGGGACGGGGAAGAGGCGGCCGATTCCTCCAGGCCCGCCAGGGACCAAATCGGTTCCCCCACCCACCCACCCGCAGCCCTCTGCACATGCTCGGGGCTACTCACGCACGCAGAGGCAGGCGATGAGCTTGGTGGCGCCCAGCGGGACGGGGCAGGTGGGGAAGATGGGCTTGAGCAGGTAGGTGGCGAAGACGAAGGCCACGATGTACTGCGAGGAGGGCCGGATGATGAGCAGCTCGATCCAGAGCTTGAGGAAGGCGGGCAGCGAGCCGTAGACCTCCAGCATGTAGGCGTAGTCGCCGCCCGACTTGGAGATGGTGGTGCCCAGCTCGGCGTAGCAGAGGGCGCCCGCGATGGAGAAGGCGCCGCACGCCGCCCAGATGACCAGCGCCAGCCCGGGCGAGCCGGCCTCCTTCAGCACCCCGGTGGGCGTCACGAAGATGCCCGAGCCGATGATGGTGCCCACGATGATGGCCACGCCGTTCAGCAGCGTGATGTTGCGCTTCAGCGCCACCCCGCCGCCCGCCGCCCCTTCGCCCGCAGCCCCGGCGCCCGCCGCCGCCGCCGAGGCGCAGCCGTTGCCCCGAGGGCCCGCCAGCATCCCGCGCGCCTCCTCCGCCTCCTCGGCCGCTGCCGCCGAGCCGCGCTTCTTGGCCGAGCCGCCCGACATGGTCCAGCCGGAGGACGCGCCACGCGCTCGGCCCGGGCCACGCGCCCTCGCCTTTTATCCGCCGGAGCCGGCCGGGACCCGCCCCGGCACGTGGGAAAGGCTCGCCCGCCCACCCGCCGCAGCGCGCCCCGGCTGGCCGGCAACGGCAGCGGCAGCGGGAAGAGGAGGAGGAGGAGGAGGAGGAAGGCGAGAGCGCCCCAGGTTCGGCAACCTTCCTGGCAGCGGGCGCCCCGTGCGCTCTGGGCGCGCTCCCCGGAATCGACGCTGCCAGCCCACCGCAAAACTAAGGGAGGGGGTCGTTCTCGGAATCTGTCCGGGGGGGGTCAATACTGGCCATAAGCAGCAGACAAAGAAGCCCATCGCTTTTTTGAAACCTCCGACCGTGGATCTAACTTAGTCAGTAAGTAACCAGCATCCTTTTATTTCTAAAACTCTGGCAAAGAGAGCCTTCTCGGCCAAAACACAGAAATGTTGAACCGACCTCACCTGAAGCATAATTTTTAAAACTATCTTTAAGAGATTTATTCTAAAAATAATGTTAAATTTTATTTATTCGTAATTTTTAAAGCTATTCTTAGGGATGGAGAGGTCCAGGGCGGCCAAAGTGCTTAGGCCCTTCAAAAGTCATAAAGCAGATGAAACGGCTGGAACGGCTTTCCTCCAGAAGTTTTGGGTGCTCCATCCCTGAAGGCTTTGAAGAAGAGACTGGACAGCCATTTGTCTGAAAGGGTATAAGGTCTCCTGCTCGAGCAAGAGGTTGGACTAGAAGACCTCCAAGGTCTCTTCCAACTATTATTCTATATAGTGAATAAAAATGGTTTTTGCATCTATTTTAGAGCGATGCAATATTTTCCAACTAACAAAACCTAGAATTTAAAAACCCAGAAATCAAATTTTGTCTCATCCCCCCCATGCCCATTTAGGCCATGCCCAATTTATTGTAGGCAAATTATATTGTATGTTCATACATCCAAATAAATGAGTGGGAATCAACAATTTGGATACATTCAGCTTACACTGACGGCACCTTTCATTCAAAAAGAGGCCAGGCAACTGTACAAAAGGGGGGCAAATGCCTTTGAAAAGATAGATAATTGCAGCTTGTTGGATTGGATTGCCTTTATTGAAAGTGGCGTCCATGGTAATATTTTTCACTAATGCCGTCATTCAGTCCATAAGAAATATTTCCTTCTCGGTGGGCTGCAAATAGAATTGTAAGCTATCAGTGCTTTTTCCTCCATGAATTAGCAAAAATGATTGATACCTTAATGACTGACTGGGCTGTTTGGTTTTCGCTGCTCCCTCACCTGCTTGTTCCTCAGCTCCAGAGAAAATATATTTGCTTTAAGTACCAGATGTTAGTCTGGGAGCAGATCTACGGATTTCACATTGACCAGCTAAAGGCTTCATGCAAGTTAAAATGTTAAAAGGTCTCCACAAATAAAATGGGCCTTTAATATCCTGCATTAGTTAGTTAAACTGATAATTTTTCCATGTAATTGGTGAGGCATCTGCATTACCAACCCATCCAGCTCATCCTAATTTATTTATTAAATTTATAAGCTTCCCTTCTCACTGTGGAGCGACTCTTAGACCGTACAGCAATCCACCCTTTTGATGAAAGGAGCTCCCCAAAGCTTCTGCCTTTTTAATCAAATTGGTTTAGCTGGAAAAAATGGTACCTGATCCCTGCTTTTTTTTTTTTTACCAACGCAGACTCATCCCTCTCTCCTCTTACAAAGTAAACAAACACACACGTATATAATTTTAACTCCGTGGAGCTGACACGGCCCAAACTGGCCTTGATGGGGGCAGGTGGAAAAAAACAAACCTAGCAGACAGATATCACATAACCTGAAAATAAAAAGGAGATGTTGGTTGCCTGAAATAAACTTTGGGGTTGTTGCTGTTTTTGTATTTTTCTCCTTGTCGGATTCTGCCCTCTAGTGGCCCTTGCCCAAAATCCCCGTGTTTGCAAAACTGCTGTAAAACAAAACATGTTCCTTGACAACAAAAGTTGTGCTTGGAACGCTCTGCGCACACCGACTACACAAACCTTTCTTTGCCCCACATCTCTAGCAACATTAACGCCAGAAATGGAAGTTAGTGTTGCTCCTGTTGATCTATGGTGGCTTGTCTTGGTGGGTTCCAGTTTTCTCCTTGCAAGTTCCTCAGTTAGGGATTTTTCTGCTGGATTGCTGGATTGTTGTCTTCTACTGGAACATCATACTTGCTTGCCAAGGCTTTTCGCGGGCTCCCGTTGCAAGTTGATGCTGGTGGCCAAGCCAGCCTTCCGTTCCTCCTTCCCACCTGGATCCTTCCTGTCCCCTTTGCCCAGGATGAGAGGCAGCTGATCCTTTTGCACACCGGTCTTGTAAAAAGTGTGTAAAAAAAGCTGCTCCGACTCCTTTTCCCATTATTACTCTGCATTCAGCCGCAAAACCTTTCAAGGGGATTTGATTATGAAGACCGGCTCCTTGTGCTAAAGCCCAGGCGAGGGCAGGATTGTCACATCAAAGGGATTTAGCCAAGGTCAAGAGATAAGGCCGAAGTGGCTTCTGACATAATCTCCAGAAAACAACAGGCTTCTTCTAAAAGCAAGCTAGTTGTTAACCCCACAGCATCTGGGGCGGGTCAACCATGAAGGGCTCCTCTACCATCGCTTGACCCTCTTTTTGGTCCTCAGCCCATCTCTGGAGGGTGGGGAAGGGGGTTGCGGCACCCAGCAAGGAACCTTTTCCTCCTTTCAGGACAGATTTTGGTTTAGTCTTCTTTCAAAGCACCATTTCTGCAGGAGAGTTCGAGGTCTTTTTCTCCTACACACCTCTGCTAAACCTCGTTAAGGAAACCCGGTTATGCATTTCCCAAAGAGTAAGCTCTTCCATAGAATTTGAAAATCCAAGAACTGCCCTACCAGGGCAAAAAAATTTTAAAAAAAAAATTGTAGAAAATCCTGTTTGGGTTCATTTTCTGCCTCTTTGGTGACTGAAGTGAAGAAGAGAAGCTCATAATGTTGCTTTGGGCCATGTTATCACCTGTTAGCTTCCTAAATTCAAGCTATTCTGCTGCAAATGAAGTGTGAGGTGCCAGCCTTGTCCAACAGACACACACACACACACACACACACACACACACACAGAGTTTCCCTTCAGAAGGCCTCTCTCATTTTTGAAAACTGTCAACTTGCAGAATGTGGTTGTTCTGCAGACGGGGCTATCTTCATAGGTCGCCTGGCAAAGACAATAGTGTCCAAAACAGAAGCACGCGTGTGTTGAGAGGACATATTTCCTGTGCTCCGAGACCATAATGAACCATCACATTATTCCTTAACAAGTGTTGCAGTCAAAACAGTAGGATATTGTTTTCCCCTCTCAATGCCTTTTAGGAGAAAACATTTTTATCTAGTTGTTGTCACTTCCCACACAATGAAACAATTCATTTTCCCTCCTTCCTCTTTCCCAAGGCAAATACAGCTGAAATAACTTCTGGACGACGGAGAGAGAAAACTTCGTATTTATTATAAAGATGCGTAACAGCGTAAGCTTCCTTTCTGCACCTTTTTTATAAACGCCAAATAGATCCATCCATCTCTCAGGCCACCTATTCCGATTCTTTTACATGAAGAGGAAAAAGGACTTAGGAGATACAAAAAACTCTGATATGAAAAAGAAGAAAGTCACGTCTTAAAATCGTCAAGCCTGAGAAGCTATGTTGTAAGGCGTGAAAGTACTGTGGATTTATTCCTGCTTCAATACACACACGTTAAGGTTGTTAACCCACAAGTCCTCCTATGTGGCTGTTTTGAATGCCCCTGATCACTTATGGCAGCAATTGTGTACTCACTAACCTCAAATGAAGGTTTAGCAAGCTGCTACAGGGGATTGATTGTCTTCCACTGTGCAGGTGGTCAGGCACTGTGCAGGTTCTACCTAGAGTTTGTGTTTTAAAGGCTATTTTAAAGTGCTACAGAATGAAAAAAAATTGCATATTTACAATCTGGCAGGTTTCATGTATCAGCAAGTACACACACATATTTAGGTTAGGAAATGAATCCTATCATGTTTCCTTGTAATGTATATCGTGCCTATGTTAGGTATTTCCTTCTAAGTGCGCCTGGTTGTTTCAGAGCCCAAAATCCATTCAAATCTGCTGATTTAAACAGAATAGGTTTTCCACTTCTTTCCTAGATCCCAAATAACTCCCAGCCTCTTGTATGTACAGAGACAGAAAAATTGCTGGGGAAGGAGAGGAACTGCTATAAAGTTACACCATCAGGTGCATTAATACTATAATTCCCAGAACAATTGGCAATTTAGGTTGTTATAATCCTGGCATCTGGGTCAAAGTAGCTTGGCACCCAAAACAAATTCCTGCCCTTGTCAAATTGTATAAATTCCCTCTCAGTGAACAGTCCTGGTTCCTCAGAGGTCCTCGGAGAGGCCTTACCCAACTATTCAGCTCCTGCAAGGCAGCATCTGCTGATGGAGAAACACCTGGAGAGCAGAGGTGAGGCTTGAAGTCCTAACTGGTGCTTTGATCTGTTATTGGGAGAAGAGCCCAAGCGGTTCTCACACTACAAGCACAGTCTTTTGGAAGAGGGAAGGACCAGAAATCTCTTGGCCCCTTTGAAACCACGGATCTTGTCCTCAGCTTGATGCTAAACTACTTTTCAGGCGCAGATAATAACATTTAGCTTCTTAAAGATGCAGAGTGTCCTGAAGGCGCCCTTGCTCATGGGCACGGAACATCTGGTCCTCCAACGGCTTTTCCATGTCCTGCCAGAAGCGCTTTGGAAAGGAGGAGCGGACTGTTCGATCCATGATGGGCTGCAGGGGACGGAAGTTGTCCACCATCCTCTTCTCGTCTTCTCCAGCCTGACTAAAGAGCAGCATCCGAAAGACCTCGAGCTGGAGAGGAGAAACAGCAGTCAAAGGAAGGGAGAGCAAGGAGATGGGACTCTCATGGGTCCTCTGAAGAGCTCCTGGGAAGGACTCCTCCTTCTCAGCCAAGACTGGCCGACAGGAGCCTTCAAATGCAACAAAAGCATTTGCAGCATAGCTGAGAATCTGGAAGACGCAATGGGATTTCTAATTTTTTTTTTTGCATTTTTATCCTGCACATGAATTCTACTCTGGATTCAACTACTCCCAACTCAGGATCCAGGTAGCTGCAATATTTAAGCTAGATAGGCCAGAGTAGAATGGCCGTCACTACCAGCCACGATGGTGGACATCCAACTTTCTCCATCCTGCTGATCCCAAGCCAGCTCAATCCTCTGCTCTCCGTTTATCCACACAAAAGTACCTTTACGTATGTTGGAATAAGGAGAATGGTTAAAGTGGGAAAACTGACTCAGCAGGAACTTGCTCTGCCACATCTATGGATCAAATTTCAGCTCATCTTCTATTTCAACCTGGCTACGTTGCATCTCTTTCACAAGACAATCCTGGATGAAGCCGTAACATCATTTGTTTAGCTACGGCTTGGCCTGATGTACAAAACCAACCATTGTTTATGACTTGCCCTTATACCCAGATCAAACCACTAATCTTTGTTCCGTAAATTATGGTTGGAACAAACCACAGATGAGGGGGGGAATGTGAAGCCTGTCCGTATATTACTGCTAAGCATGATTTCAGATGGCATGGTTCCTTCCCCTTTCTCAAATCTGGTTCCCCTTTGACAGACCTGGTCTTCATCGACCTCAATGGCTTTCTTCTTGATGATCCAGGTGACCGACTCTGAAAGCGGAGGGGTGGTCAGAGATCCCGAGTAAGTCCAATAATCCGGACATGAAGGCAACAAGCAGGAAGGATCAAACTCTTCCAGTTCAACCAGAGAATCCTAAGAAATTCCACCAACAGCAACACGGTTAGTTTGGGACAGCTGTAAGGTGTTCCCTGTTTGCAAATACCTTCTTGGGGTTTTGAAACGTAATGTCAGGGTTCCAAGTAATACACCCATAGCAAACAGAACTCCAAGGCAAGCAGGTTCCTCAAAGAACAGGTTTATTGAATATATCATATTGGCACAGACTGGTGAAAACTGACTCTGAAGGTTCCCACGGTTTCCACCTAATTAAAAGTTAAAGTTTTTTCCCCTCTTTCCCCAAACAACCAGTCACATGGTCCAATCCAAGTGCTGTCCGGTTGCTTGGAAACTTCCCTCCTCCTCTCTTCTGCCACCTGTGGGAATGTCCTTGGTTCTCAGGGGGAAACTCTTTTGTTTTGGCTAAAAAACCCCAGCTATCTCTATTCCACCCCCCCTCCCTATCTCTCAGCTCCAGTGTGGCAGCACTGAAGCTTCCAAGATGGCCTCAATCAGGCTAGCTTCAGAGTTGACACATAAGATTATAAAAATCCCCTTGTGTGCCCACCCATCTTTCTCTTGCTTCTTCCACTTTTAGGAAGCAAGAATTAAAAGGCAGTACTCTTCTTCCTCTGAGTAGACAGGGCATTCCAGGCAAGTAGGAAAGAGGTCAACTTCCATCTTACCTTGTATTTAATGGACGGCAAGGCATCTACTAATTTCTGCAGGCCATTATGATTGGCTCCAAGCTGTCAAAGCAAAGATAAGTTTTGGATTCAGATCTAAAGATTTTGTACCAATAACATCTTTACTCCTTGATAAACTTTAGGACAACAGGGTTTCTGATCTCCCGATCCCACCCATTTCCCCACTAATGGCTTCTCTGAAAGACCACCCAAGAAAAAATCCCAAAATAAACAAAGTCACTGGCTCTCTGCAGAGAAGTTCCTTTTTCGGTTGCACGAAGGACTTAGGGTCAAAGTTGGCCTTCTCCTCCCCCTTCCTTCCCACAGGTCTGTTTTTGTCTCTATTTATACCTTCCTTCCTGTATCCCCACCCTGACAGTATAAAATTGGCCAGGTCCCCCAATTATATTCTGATGCTGTTATTGCAGTATAAACACACACACACATATCCATGCAAATCCACAAAGAAATCAAAACAAACAGAGTTACTTAAATGATGCTTATTGTGTAAGAAAAACAACAACAGATTGGGAGGAATAATAGGAAAATTGCCATTTTTCCACCATCCGTCATACCTTCAAAAAAACGCCGATGACAGCCAAACCGTTCTCGTCCATTAGAGCTTCTTCGAAACTTTCAAATTTGCAGCAATTCCAGTGAACTAAATGCAGCTGGAAGGAACAAGGGGAACCCTAAGTCTTTTCAAAGAGGGGGCATCTTGGAAGACGATGCTCTGGACAGCTCCAGGGAGCCACAATGCCCAAAGCTAAGAGCAGTTGCAAGCTGTGAAGCCATTGGGAGTGGTAAGACCCAAAGATTGGTTCCTAGGTGCAGAATGAGATGCCGCTTCCCCAGAAATTAAAATATCTCTCTGGACCACCCTTGGGGGAAGAGCCCATCATCTCATTCACCTTGCAAGCATCCAGACTGATCTTTCTTTCTTTCTTTTATTTATTTATTAGATTTATACTGCCGCCTATTCCCCCATGGCGACTGAAGGTGGCTTACAGAATATAAAAAATCACATTTAAAAAACAGTAAAACTCATAAAAAATCAAATAAATTAATGTAATAAAATCACCCCTGACCCCCACCTCCCGCCCCAGTGACAGCCGATCACACAAGCCATTTAATGGGCTCCATCCCGCTCTGGGCTCCCCAGGCCCGCTGGTCAAACCAGGTCTTCAGCGCCTTCCGGAAGAGTATTAGAGTGGGGGCCATTCTTATCTCTGGAGAGATGATGTTCCAGAGAGAGGGAGCCACCACAGAGAAGGCCCTTCTTCTGGGTCCCACCAGGTGTATCTCCCTCGGGGATGGGACCCGCAGCATTCCCTGCCTCCCCGATCTTCACCAGGTCTTCCTCTTACCTCAGCTGGGAACACCTGGCAGTCCACGGTGTGCTCGGAGCCCCATTCATTGACGGCCCCCCAGTGAAAATGGAACTGCTTCAGCCGGTAGTTGTTCTCCAAGGGACCTCCCGTTATGACTATCGTGGAGAAAAGGCATGCCTTCAGTGGGATGGGGGTGTAGAGGAGGGGTCTGCGTCATTCACAAGGGGAGCCTGGATTCTGGACCACTTGTTAATGGCTTCAAACCATTGAAAGGCCATTTTGAGCTTACGTTATCATTTTGAGGATTCGCACTGCAAAATAGTTGGAGTGGATACTGCAGTGTCTAATTTTGATAAAGGGGGGGGGGGATGAAAAAAGCCTCACTGGGTGCCCACCTGTAAGGAATCAGGAAGGGGACCTTGATGGTGACAGGCAGGAATGCTTGCCTAGGGAAAAGGGGCTGAAACGTGTTTGAAGTCCAAGCAATGAGATTACATTGGGAAGAATTCAGGCAGACACCTCCACAATTTAATGAAGTATAAGTGGGGGAAAGACGTCCAGCACAATTTGACTTGCAAAATTATTGTATTAGAGCCCATCTCAGTAAAGTAGCCTTTATTGATGAAATCAACTCCCAGTCTGGTTTAACTAAGTGAGGCTGATACCATACAATTCTAACTCAAACAAACATTGGCATTTTGGGAGAAATTTTATTTGGCATGTCACGGATCTCCTCTGCTTTGCTGAATAAGCAGCTCTGGACAGAGGTAGCACCAAGATGCTTACATCCCCAGAACTAAAGATAGAGTCTTCATTGATCCATGGTCTTTCCAGAGATATTTCTGGAATATTAGTCACCATAAAAGCTAGAAAGATTCTCAGAGCCCAGCAGTCAAATAGGCTTCTAAGAAAGCCAGGCCTGCAGATGATCAGGGTGTCATTGTCCAATTCAGTACATGAAAAATCTTGGACACTGTTTTTAACAACACAGCCTATCGATGTCAGGTGTGTATTCTGATCTCTTCACCCAAGAAAAATCAAAGCAAAACAATTGACATTTGATGCCAATCCCAGCAACAGTTTTATAATACATTCCTTGCTTTGGCAGGGAAATTGGGAGCAGATCAATCTTCAACTGTCAGAAAGTGATGTTTTAAGCAAAGAAGCCAAATTAAGACTCCCTGGCTTAACCTTTTCTCCAAGGAGAAGAGAACAAAGCTGGAAGGGTTAAATTTTGGCACACAAATCCATTTTCATCCATTCCAACCGTAGTTGCATCTGTGAGATAGGTTTATATCTCAGGGTTAGAGAGATATAGAAAAGAACATCCCGAGTCCTGGAAAGTCTAATATGATTTCTCGACAGCTGGCAGAACCAAAACGGCGTTTCTCCGTTTCCTGTTTTTTCCCCCCATTTTGAGATTCTCCGAGAATGACGGAAAAGGCTGAGCATGGCCGCCCTCTCGTGGACACCAAAGGGTGCGCAGAATTTCAGAAGCCAAAGGCAGCTATTTACCTTCAGATCTGACCCAGAACCAGGAAAAAACTTGAGATGCAGCCCTCAAGCCACATTCCTGATGGGTCAAATACCAGAAGTAGATCCCAAGCTTCTAATTAAGGTGGGGGGAAGTCACAACACAGTGTGGGTTTTTTTGCTAGCTTAAGCTCCTGGCAACCTGCAAGGTTTCCATCCTTTGGGGATGAAACTTCGCATTAGCATTTTGGAAACCCTTCTGTCTGCGAACCACAATGTCCTTCTCTTCTACACTTTCTACCAGTCACCAGATGGCAAAAATACCAGCAACACACATCATCCCATATTTTGATATTTGTCCCCTAGCTCTGCTGCCATCCTGTGCCCGCCGCCAATCTTCTTTCATCCTGGCTACAAATCTGAGGGCATTTTGTCCAGTATCCTGTTTCTATGCCCATTGACTTACCTTCCTGCACTGTCTTTCCTTCTCAACTTTAGCTTTAATCCACTTTTCCTCTTCTCTAATTTTATTTTCCTTGAAGGGCAGAAGCAAGGAGAAAGAAAGAAAGAGAGAGAAAGAGACCCCAAAAACTAAAAGAAGGAGACAGCACTAAAAGTAAAGGAGAAAGAAGAGTGAACATAAGCATTTATGTTTCTGAAAAACAACAAAAAATACAAAGGAATAAAGGGTGCAGTAAAGCAGTGTTTCTCAAACTTAGCAACTTTAAGATGTGTGGACTTCAACTACCAGAATTCCCCAGCTAGCCAACCAATTCTGGGAGTTGAAGTCCACATGCTGGCTAGAGAATTCTGGGAGTTGAAGTCCACAAGTCTTAAAGTTGCCAGGATTTAATACTTGAGCTGCCTGACACTGATTCACAGACTAGATTGTTCATAATTGTGCAAAGCCATTAAGGGGTTCCTTTAATTTCTGCCCCAGGCAATCCTGTTCCTGTTTGATGGAAATAGCATAGCTGTAGGAGCACCGAAGGCATAATTTAAGTCAGCTAATAAAGTTGACCTTTTATTTCTTTCTTAGAGAGAGAGAGAGAGAGAGAGAAATAAGGCCCGTGCAAAGCTTGGCCAGGTACAGGATAAAATATTTCCCAAGACCACGAGAGCAGAACAGGCATTGCTTAATAGGGAGGCCCTATCTTTTTCAGATCCTTTCAGGTGCCTTATTCAGAAAGCTTATCTGTCAGCTGAGTCAAGGTGATAACCGGCGTTTACATTTCGGTAATATAGATTGCCAAACACCTTTCATCAGACAACAAGCAGTATGAAACCACACAGAGGGCATCTTGTATTTACGGACGCAAAAGGCAAGGTAAAAGCTGAACAAAGGGTATCGGAGGTTTTGGAAGAGTGCCCTATACTTAAAGAATGATAATTAATTTTTTAAATGTTAGCTAGGTTGCATTTGGAAGGGAATTTTAGCAGGCACAACAAATCCGGGGAATTGTACAGAGAAAGACCCAGCTGCTTTATTAGACACCCCCTTGGCTAATTGGGGCACAAGCAACTCAACCTCAAAATATATGATGCAAAGTATACACCTACACACCCCTAAGTGTGACCGTGTCTACCACACTTTTCAGAGTTATTTGGATTTTGAAATCTTTCTGCTACCGGCACAAATTCCTTTTCAAGTCACTGCTTCTATGTTCAGCCTCTGAAAACTCACCGCACATCTTAAGTTCAGTTGCTCTTACTTGATTTATCTGTGGTGTCCTCAAACTCAACCAGGAAAGAGTATCCGTTGTTCCACATGTGGAGACAAGTGTCCGGGTCGTAGCGGATTTCCAAGGGTTTCAGGTGAGGGTCATAAACGCTGTCTCGCCACTGGATATTGATCGGAGACTGGCGGCTGCCTCCCGGGATGGTAATCGGGCTCTGCCAGAGAGGGTGCACTGGAAGGAGAGGGGGTAGACCAGGGTTTAGCAACCTTGCCAATTTTGAAGATGGGTGGGCTGCAACTCCCCAACCAGCATACTCTAAGATGGATGGACTGCAACTCCCAGAATTCCCCAGCTAGCACGCTGACTAGGGAATTCTGGGAGTTGCAGTCCACCCATCTTAAAGTTACTAAGTTTGAGAAACATGGCTATAGACTATTGAAGAAACATTCAGTCTTAGCAGATATGAAGTGAATAAAGGTAGCTTTAGCTTAAAGCTTTCAAGTTTTCATTCTCCAGGAATAACAGCTCTGTAGGTTGAGGAGAAATTTCAATTTAGTCTGAAATTGCATTTCAGACCCAGGGAGACACCTGGTGAAATGCTGCACCGATGCCCACACAATTTTTCTGTGCCGCCTCCTTTATTTTGCTAAGCAGGGCACTGACTCACTGCGCCTATACAGGATGAAATTCTGTTATGGGCCATTCTCTTCCTTGATGTCCCAATTATCTCTGGGTGATAAGTTTGATCCGATGAGTTTCTTTCTCTTGTTCTGAAATGAGTCAGTGCCCTGGTTAGCAAAATAATGGAGGCGGCACCGAAAATCCAGATCCGGTGAACCAGGTGATCCTTCCCCATGAAAATATCTCCAGGGGTTGAATCACCCTAATGGCCTAATGGCCAAGTGCCAGGGAAACACCCCGTCCTGTTCGTTGGGAGGCAAGTCTGTGCAAATAGATTGAATCTGGGATATGGTGAAGGTAGGAGAATAAACATTGCCCGGAGGTGGAGAAAGACAGGAAGGGAGTTTGGCTTTGGTTTTCCAAACACGGGGAATCCACCCTCAGCAGAAGCAAAGGGAAAATAGCTGGGAAAAGCCAGGGGTGGGGGTGAGGGGAGCAAGGGGGACTGAAGGCCTGGTGGCGGGGGGGGGGGGAGGAGGAAAGGTTTTCTGATGAAATGAGCTGCAGCTCCCCAAAACCTCTGCCTTGGGACAAACTGGGTGAGTCAAGAGAGGTGCTCTCTTTTGAAACCATCATCTTCTGGCCCAAAGAAAAAGCGGAAACCATCATCACCCCTCCCACCCCTAATCCTTTCTGCCCTCTGGCCTTTCTGAACAGCTGGGAGGGGCTGCTATTAAAGAGGGCAAGAGATGGTGAAGATGGAAACCTTGGATCCCTCAAACTGGAGTTGCTTAGAGGAAGGGGGGGAGGAAGGAAGGAAGGAAGGAAGGAAGGAAAAGGGGAAAAGAGGGGAGGGAAGGAAGAAATGAGAGAAGGAAGGAAGAAAAGGGAAAGAAGGAGAGGAAAGGAGGGAGGGAGGGAAAAGAGGGGAGGGAGGGAAGGAAGGGATGAGAGAAGGAAGGAAGAAAAGGGAAAGAAGGAGAGAAGAAGGAGAGGGAAGGAAGGAAGGAAGGGAAGAGGGTCCCTCCCTCTTCGCCGGCCACTTACCGCCGTCCCGGAGGCGATAGGAAGCGCAGGCACCGAGGCTGCAGCGCCGCGTCCCGCTCCGGCCGGCGAAGGCTGCGGGCGCCTGGCGGAGCAAGAGCGGCAGGAGCAGGCGGGCCATGGTGGCGACCGGCCGGTTCCGGGAGGCGCTGCGCCGGGTCGCTCCGCCCGCCTGGACCAGCCGACCCCGGCGCGGAGCTTCTGGCCGGCTGGGCAGGCAGCCTCCTCCGCGGCTCCTCCTCCCAGCTGAGCGCCGCTGCCCGGCCCCAGGTTGAGGCTTCCCGGGGCGGAGCCCGCAGCCCGGCGCTTGCGAGGGTCTCCGGGGTGGGCAGGAAGCCCCCTCCCGCCCTGCAGCCGGCTGGTGGAGAGTCCGTTTACTTTTGGAGTTTTCTTTGCCTGCTCAATGATAAACTACTAAAAAACTTATGAAAGTGAAAAGGAAGAGAGTGGGGCGGTCGTGGGAACCGTTCCCCGGCTTGACACGGAACTCCGACTGGAAGGGCAGAAAGGGGGGGAGGGGTTGACCCGATAAACGGGACTCTTAAGGGGGTGGGCTGTAGGGGCAAAGCGAGACCAACTTCGGAGAAGTTTCTCAACCTGCTTGAAGTCCTGTGTGGATTTCAACCTCGAATGCTGGCTGGGGAATTCTGGGAGTTGAAATTCACGAGCCTTAAAGTGGCCAAGTTTGGAGACCCCCGCCCAAGACAATGGGACCGTCTTTGGATTGGGGAAAATATTTTTTTGTAACGTTGATGCAGGACGCTTTGCCTCCCCGCCTGCTTTCTCTGGCCTGGACTTTTCCCTAAAAAGCAGCCGCTTCAGTTGCTTATGAACTTCCTTGGGGAGCAGAGAACTTCAAGAGGTTGGGTTGGTTCCTGGCTCATTTGGGTGAATTAAGAGATATAATTCCTCCTTTTGGTGGGGGGTGGGGGATGGGGGAGTCTGCTGCTTGGTGCTCTCTTTCCTTGCCACCCTTTCTGTTGTGTGGCTGGGCGAGGGTTCACGGAGCCTTGAAAAACAGCCAAAGCACCCCCCCCTCGCCCGGGTTTATTGAAATACGCTTTGAAAAACGGCTGTCTCTTAAAAACAGAGCCTGCATTGATATTTCTGACTCTTTCCTCTAAATAAATCATTTTACTTCACCATCATTTGAAGGGCTGGCTTGCTTGGGTTTCAGGGAATGTTATATTCCAAGGGCATCTCACTTGTGATTGGGAATAAACTGAACAATACTGTTAGGGGAAGGTTTGCCCGGGCTCTGTGCCCAGCTTGGATTATAAAGAAGGCAGCTTGGCTCTGCTGGTGGGCTTCCACACTCTGTGTGCAAAAGGGCCACTTCTTAGTCCCACTCCACTGGACATGGTCCAGATTGCCATAGGAACATAGTGAGGTCTTGTGCAGAGAGAGCTGAACTGGAGCGGTTTTATTTTAATCTAGTACAGTTTTCTTAACCTCGGCCACTTAAAGATGCGTGGACTTCAGAATTCAGAATCAAGGTGGCTCGGGAATCCTGGGAGTTGAAATTCACACAACTTCAAGTGATTGAGGAAACTACTACTCTAGTAAAATAATGCTTTTCTGTTTTCCTTCGTGGTTGCCCTTGAGAAGTATAAAATTGACTCCTAAAAGGCAGTCTGTCCTTGGGGCTTTTAAAGGAACTCTGCATGCTGCACACAGCTGCACATTAATACCCGCGGCGCAACATTTTATCCTTAGCAAATAAACGACGCTTGCACAATACGCTAAAACCTGTACACGGCCAAACTACAGTGACAAAGTAGAAGCCAAGGTATTACTTGAGGTCGTCTTATCTGAACCAGACGCACCATTCAACTCTCATGTAGGTTATTGTGTGAACGCATCCATCATGGTTTGCTGGCCATGGCTTGCAATTTAGTGTGATGGACGAGCATAGCTGGTTCCCACTACTAATGGGCTGAGGCTTCAGAGAAACCCGAAGACAAGTAAATGCTCAGATTGGAAGGTGGAAATGGGTGGGGGGGAATTTAAGGCAGGCTTTTAAAATGGGAAGGCTTTGGAACAGGTCAGGTTACAGGCACAGCGAAGGTTAATTGAAACCACTCCTTATTGTCAAAAGGGCTTTTTCTCGGAGGTGGCTGAGCTGGCAAAATCTCCATGGCAATTCACCCCAAACAGAAAGCAAGTAAGACAACTCTGCGATGGCGCTTGCTTTCTGCATCCATGGAACCACGCAAACGTGTGCTTTTTTTTAGACTTTAGAGAGGGGCACGCACCCCACCCCCCAGGCCCAGGGCTTTGGCACTGCTAGATCTGCCCACTTTATCGAGAGGGCATCTGGAGGAGGTTACCTCTCTGCTTTTAGCCTGTTGTGAAAGCTCTCGGTGGGGGTTTAAGCCTTGAGAATCTTAATGGAATGTATAATCTCCAAATAATGAATAAATGAGGAGGATTCCTGCTGGAAGATTGGGCTGCTTCCTATGAGCCTATTATGCTCATTTCCTATTTGTCTTTTTGCATGGCATCCCGTTGTCCAGAACGTGTTTCCCAACCTCTGCAACTTGAAGGTGGATGGAAATTCAACTCCTTGCTGGCTGGGGAATTCTGGGAGTTGAAGTCCACCCATCTTTAAGTTGCCAAGGCTGAGAAACACTCGGCTAGAATGTCTTGGCACAGCCTTTCCTAACCTAGGTCACAATTCCCAGATTTCCCCAGCCAGCATGCTTTAAGATAGATGGACTTCAGCTCCCAGAATTCCCCAGCCAGCATGATGATCTCTTTGAATTGTTCATGAAATGGAGTAGAATAGCCCATCTTTCATGCTAATAATCTGGTTGAAAATGCAGCGGGGCAAGGAATCAAAGGATTCACTTATATTTTTAAATGACTCTTGGCATCTGTTTGAGGACTCCTTTGACAAGGCCAAGTAAAGGGAGAAAAACACATCCACAGTTACTTGTGTGAGTCACACGGTTGTACTAAATGGGAAGAACTGACTCAAAATTTCCTGTGGATTTGCATTCATGCTAAAAAGTTTTGGCAGTAATTATGAGGAAGAAAAAAAACACCAGGGAGAGTAAAATATGAAATGCTAGTATGTTTCATGTGCATGTATCTCTGGCTGTCTATACTGCATTTTGAATACACAGGAATGGGTTTATGAAACTTGGGTCTCTTTGCACCACGCCTGCTTAGTTTCATGACGGTTGTTTGAATAATCCAGAACTGGCTGTCACTGCAACGGGCTAAGCAAGAAGCTGAGAAACCACGGGATGTGACCATTTGCAGCTGGCTTCAGTTTTTGCTACCTTCCTGATCATATTGTTGTGTTGGTTTTTTTTTTTTCCCCTTAATCTCCGAGCAAAGGAAGAACTGAGTTTTTCCAAAGCTCCTGTCCTTTTCTGTGACGTTTTGAACACCCATTGAGGCCTCAAAGGTAAATAGAAACTGGTCTTCTTAGTTCTTGATGGGACACAAAGCTATCAGTTACTCAGAAAAAGAAGAGTTCGTTTTGTTGCTAAGTAAGAAAACCACCTCAAAGACAAATTCACAAAGTTACTAGAAGTTGAGCTTAGTTGAAAGGAAGCTTTTAAACAAAAGTACTGGCCAAATGTACTTTATGGGATTTTTAAAAATGGTTCAGAACAACTGCTTTTACCTGAAAAGTATATCTGAAAATAATGTCTTCTTGGAGGCTTTTAAGAAGAGGCTGGGCTGCCACTTGTCTGAAATGGTTTCGGGTCTCCTGTTTGAGCAGGGGGCTGGACTAGAAGACCTCCAAAGTCCCTTCCACCTCGGTTATTTTAGGTTATTCATGAAATCCTGTTTGTTCCAGTGATCCATAGCTGATCTACCAGTATTTATTTCGAAACCCAGACGGGCTGATTTTCCTCTGGTGAAAATGTTTGTTGGTTTGACTGGAAATTCCGGTTTCTAAAGCCAATGGGGCCCCTTGCAATTGTTGTACACACTTGGTTAATACGCTAAGAGGTCCAAAGGATTTTCCGATGAGTGGAAAAGCAAAACCTTTCAACGGGGCAGATCACCGATATGCCAACGTGACCACAGGTGCACCAAGGTGGACAGAATAAATAAAAAACTATCGCTCTGCCCGAAGGCATGGTTGGCTATGGCATTGCTTGGCTGACCTCTTTTAACTCTACTCCCAGCGACACTTGTTAAATAATGCTGGTTTGCAGCAGGAAAACAAACATGTTCCCACTGAAAAGAGAGAAGACTGAGATTGGGATAGATCCCTTATGCTTTTGCCCAGGTTTAGAGATAAATAATATTTTCAATCACTCTTTGATGTTTTATCACCATTTGAGCTGAGGTTTTCGCTCGGTTTAGAATGTGAAAGCTATTGGTTGGCTTAAATCCATCCACCAAACTGGAAAGGGGAATGTTTTAATCCAGTGCAACAAACAAAAGAGGAAATTTTTTTTTAAACCATTTTTTTCTTTCTAGTCCTCCCGAAATACTCTGTTTTCAAAAATGATTAGTTATAGTAAACGTTGGTCACAATGTAAAAATCTCATTATAGCAAAAAGAAACAAACCAATGAAAACAATTGCTACTGCTCTGATTTCATAAAAGTGCTTTCTCCCACCAGAAACATAGATCCAATGATACCATTCACACAAACGCCAATGGTTTAAATTAAAATCTCCCTGAAAAAGAGAGAATAAAAGCCGGATACTTACAGGAAGAATACCTGTTTTTATGAGTGCAGCTAATCAAGTTGCAGGATCTTCGGGGTGTCAGATATTGTCCCCAGGCAATTTTCGACTTTTTGCTCAAATGGATCAAGTCCCTTATTTTTAGATTGGTAAGAAATATATTCATTTTTTTTAAGAAAAAAAGAATAGATTTGTAGCAAAGGAAAAAGCGCCTTCACCATTCAAACCGACAGATCTAGTGTCAATGTCCTGTTAGGGCAAATGGATTGCCAAAAAAAAAAAAAAGAAAGAAAAGAAAGAAAGAAAAGGTTAAATTTCAACCTGTCCCTCTGGATTTCTCTTTTGATTGTAGGTTCTGATGCAGGATGAGCCCACTTATGCTCTGCCCCTGTTTTTTGCCCCCGAGAAACTGTCTACCTTTAAGTCCTCTTTCCTCCCACGTAAGAAGAATTTGGAGATTGCAAAGAATACTCCGAATGGGCGATTCTTTTTCCTCTTTTGCACAATCTTCTTTTAAAACATCACAGTATTTGCTCTGATGTCCTGTTCCCAGAAGCATTTTATGAATGGCAAACAGCTGGCTGAAGGACACAGAGTCTGCAAAGAGGGGAAGGGGAAAGATGACCCTTGATAGGGAAAACAGTTGTTAAGATTAGTGATATCAGACTTCCAAGTAGCTCTCATTCAGCAAAGCCCCCCTGGGAAGCAAAGGGGCAAGAGGAAAATTTCTCAGGTTTTAGCACAATCTTAATATTCAAGAAAGTCATATTCACCACCTCCAGGAACCCCCAAAAGCCCATCTTTAGGGATCTCGTTTGAGCATCTCTCTTCTATAAACCACAAGACAACCTTTGTTCTACTGTCGGAAACTGCGTATGTACAGAGAGTTAATTTTTACCATAAATTATAGACTGGGTTGATAGAATGAGCCTAAAACAGTCCCTAAACTGATAATACCAAGTCTGGACAATGTGAGCTTCAAAACATTGGCTCAGTCAATCTCGTAGGTAGGAACTAGCTGGCCCTGCCCTGCTATTTTAAGGGGAGCCAAAGAGAGATCAACGAATACAACGGCTGTTCATTTTTATTGAAATTTCTGTGGTCTGAAAGATAACATTTTGGTAGGACTGCCTATCCTCGATGGCTTCTTTGAGCTCATATACGCTGCTCCTTGTATCATCTGTGACGGTGACATAGATATGGTGATTAGTCATATCTTCCATTGGTCTTTGATTTTTCAAAGCATCAGGATCTTCTCCAAGGATTGTTGAGTTTGTATGAAGAGTTGAAAAAAATCTGGCTTGGCTGTTAGTGCTTTCAATGAGCAACCTTGATCAAGCATTGGGCAGCTTGTTTTTCTACTCCAAGGTGTAATTCCAAGCCTCCAACTTTTCTTCCGTCAGTTTATCTGAGGGTCCAGCTCTTAGAGCCAGTGGTGGGATTCAAGTGATTTAACAACCGGTTCTCTGCCCTAATGATTTCTTCCAATAACCAGTCTGCCAAACTGCTCAGAAAGTTAACAACCGGTTCTCCCGAAGTGGTGCGAACCGGCTGAATCCCACCACTGCTTAGAGCAGTGTTTTTCAACCTTGGTAGCTTGAAGATGGGTGGACTTCAACTCCCAGAATCCCCCAGCCAGCAGCGCTGGCTGGGGGATTCTGGGAGTTGAAGTCCACCCATCTTCAAGCTTCCAAGGTTGAGAAACACTGGCTTAGAGCTATATATTAAAACTGGCAACATTATAAGTCCTGACAATAAGGACTTTCCCCCCCACCCCAGCAAAACGGTCAATAAGGGCAGCTCTGCCCGGCGAACTACATCTCCCAGCGTGCCAAGGGCGTCACGGGGCAGCGAGGGATCGCGCGCGCGCAAGGCCCTCTGGGACTCCGAGTCCTCCCGCTCGCCTCGAGTTCGTCGCGGCCGCCCTGCTTTGGCTGTCGACGCGCCGGCGGCTCCCAAGCGGGGAAGAGCGCGGAGTGCGCCTGCGCGCCGTCTCGGGACTCTAAGGCAAGGGGGACGCGCTAGCCGAGCGCGCCTGCGCAGCGGCCGACTCCGGAGGATCTCTCGCGAGGAAGGACGCCATTATCGCAGCCGCCCGGCCAAACACCACGAGAATTCGGCAAGGCAAACGGTAACCTCGCTTCTCTCGCGGGTTCCCGGCTGCGGATGCGGCTGCTCGGCCGCGGCGCCCGGAGGCCTCCGGCTCAGCCCCTCAGGACGACGGAGAGCTCGCTCGGGTCGCCTCACGGCGCCCAGCCCGCAGGGCCGCGAGCGGGAGGGGGCGGGGGCGGGGCGCGCAGGGGCGGGGCTTCAGACTCTGCCTCTCGCCTCTCTGGGGCCCCCCCCGCGCCGCCCCCCCCCTCCCGTCGCCCCGCCCTTCGGCAGGCAGGAAGCCGCTCTGCCCGGCGGGCCCCCCCCTCACCCACCCACCCACCCAGGACTACAAGTCCCATCATCCGCAGCAGGCGAGGCGCTCAGATCCCAGCCCTCCAGCTTCGTGGCTGGGCATGATGGGAGTTGAAGTCCCCCACCCCAATTAGGATGGATGCTCGGATGGGCATCTTGTGACGTGTGGCTGAAGGACTGCGGAGACCCCCCCCCCCCCCCCCTCCCCATTTCTCCCCCCCCCTCTTTTTTTTTTCTTAGCGAGTGCCCAGGCTAGAAGCGAAAAAGCCCAATCTGAAGGGTCGAAGGGGCCGTCGAGGTCATGTAGTCGGGCCACCCTTTTTTTCTCTCCTCCCCCTCCCCACCATGCGAGGACCTCCCTCTCTCTTTCTTAGCCGCTGTACCCGAGGTACCAGTGCTTTGTCCAGGAAAGATAGGGAAGGGAAATGTAAAGGGCACAAAAGAAGAGAAAGAATGGACCCAGTTTGTGGGGGCAATAAGCTGACTTTGTATAAATATATACAAAAAGTATGAAGGCTATTGCTAAGCCGCCCTGAGTCTCCGGAGAAGGGCAGCATAGAAATCAAATTAAAAAAAAAAAAGAGAGAATTGAGAAAGGTGGCTGGGTGCCTGCTCGGTTTCTTTCCAAGAGAGTTTGGTGCTTCTTGGAGGATCTGGATTCCTCCAGCATCTTAAACATGAGCCCAGTTGGGTGAGATAAGAAGGTGCTTGAATAATAAATGTTCTTTGGGTGAATGAACTGCATGTATGATAATTCTCTCAACGGGCAGTTATAAAATAGTGCTGTAAAGGGAATTAAAGAAAATGTATACAAGCTCCTGTCCCATTGCAATGCTGGGCACTTAAAACAGGTCATAAACATTATAGGCAGAACAAAGACGTTTTCGGTGGTTTAAAAGCACGGTGTACAATTTATTAACAGGCTGCAGTCTTTGAAACATTGTAGGCAGTTAACAACTATCATAATAAATACATTGTAATAATAAGCAGGAAGCATTAAATTTGACTGTACACAATACGTGCTTCACTTCATATGAGTATTTATATAACCTATGTTGATGTTTTCACATCATTGTGAAATCAATTGGTAACATTTAGGACAGTTGGTAACAGTTTAGCCCTCTTGGACAGCAGAATGCTTTGATGTAGGGCACACAACTAATAAAAAGAAGTTGTACAACCTGTTTTAGTAGCAAAATGAGATCTTATCAAAGGATTGAACTTGAGCAGTTGCACATGTGTTGCATGCAAGAAATGTACAAATGTGTTGGAACTGCTAGCATGTGGAACTAGAAATCTTTCGATATGACACAATTCAGAGAAAACTTCAATGAAAAATACATTACATATCCAGAATTACATCAATTTTTATCCAAGCCAGAAGAATTTAAATAGGTATCCATTTCTCGGGGAGTTAAGCCTGGCTTTTTTGAATTAAGTGCTTAATTAATAATCCAAGCAATTTATCTATGCTAGTTCTATTTAATTTTTGGCCACACCAGAGGCATATGACTACACATATTTTGGAATTAGGATTGGCTGTTTTTAATTAAATGCGTAACCATATTGCTTGGATTGCTTGAATGAAATTTGGGCATTTTAAATGGCATTTTCTTTCATCTGTATTTGCAAATAGATGGCAGGGAGCTTTTAATAGTTGGCTGGGCTGCATGGATCACAATATATGAATATGGATGATATCTAGCTTTGCATAAACGAAAAGGACTTTCACGCAGGCAGGTGAAGAGAAGCAGCAGAGGAAAGTGGAGCGAGCAGGTACTAGAGTCATAAGTGCTCCAATCTTGATCAGGGATGATAATTGAATTGTGGGGGGCTCTGATCCCTGAATGGCCTGTCTGTCTTTCAAAAGGACCAGAGCAGTCAAACTGAATGGTAAAACAGATTGGGAATTCTGGGCATAAATGGGATCATCCGCTAATCTCTCTAAATACGGAACAGATTTAGAGACAATCTCTGTTGCTATTTTTTCATTAAACGCATATCTCCAGGGGGGCACCCATAATGCTCTAACCATTCTTGTAACAAGGCAGCTTTCTATGTTCCTTTGGAAAAGGAGGCCAAAGTAGAATTCCTTTTTCTTAGGAGCAGCTGCTCCTAAATCCCCTCTGGTTGTCGGGATTCTGTTTTCTATTCTTTTACAATTGCTGGAAAGCCACTGTTCATCACAATAAATATTTAAACTTGGAGCTATTCTGCGTAATTGGTTTTAAGGATGTCAGTAAAATCAGATGGACAAAGGTATACCGTATGCGATGACTGGATTTTTTGAAAAGGGTTGGAAACAATTCCAGGCAAGTCAAGTTCAAGTGTTCTCTGCCCCCCTCTGAACGACTCAAGGAGCTGTGCAAAATCCAAGCGGGACTTTTGGGACATGTCAGCCTGTTTACTCACATGCAGTTTGCCGATTTGAGGGGAATAGAAGACAACGCTTTATATTCTCCCCTTGACTTTTCCTTACTAATAGCCCTGTTTTTTTAAAAAATAAGCAACTCTTATTAATCAGTATTCCATGTGATATAATTGGTCCGGGATCAATGAACTTGGATGGGAGGGTTAAAAGCTCCAGTGGGTCTGAAGACGGGATCCAAGCTTGGGTTTGTAAAGCTAGAACCAATCTCGCAAAGTCTGTAAACGAACCTTGGCAGCTGCTGGAATCGAGAGATGCATTTGGGGCCCCGGGTGGTTCTATAAAATGGAAGAGTTGGAGAGCATTTGCTGCCCAAAATAATACAAACGAGGCGGGAAGAAACTACGTTCTCCAGATTGATCTGATTCCTGTTTGCGCTGGGTTTGTTTCTGGTCCAATTTTTTTTTAAATACTGGAAAAGGATTTATAGATTTATTAATGCAGTAAATATCTGTGGTGTCAGAAACATGCAAGATCTGCTCCTGAAGACACTTAATTTAATCCACTTAATAAATGTTCTTTTTCAATACCGGGAAAGGCCGTGAATTCTGACAGGTGCCTCTTTCCAATTAGCCCAACTTTATTGCATTTTTACTTCAGAGCAGCCAAGGCAGCTTTCATGCCTTGATGGCTGATCTCTGGATTATGATGCTGAACTTCGTTCCACTTTATTATCTTCTGAACTTTTTGGCCGTCCCATTCTTCAAAGGACAGGGCTTTTCTGACTAAATTAGAGTGACGTGGGAATGGAAAATCATGTCAGAATCCAAGCTACCACCACCAAGAGTTAGGAATCCATGCTTTGAAGAAACAGAAGAAAGGTGAATGTTCTTTAGTACCTCAGCAAACCGATACTTGGGATTTCTTGCCAGTTGTGGTTTTACTCCTTCTCGTAAAAGATGGAAACTTAGGAGAAGACGTGGTTTTTAAACTTTCCTGTATTTCCTGCAAAAGCAACAGATGGGCAGATTTATTTTGCCCTCCATTTAACAGATTTTGTTTCTGGCCTTTTCTCCTAAACAGCCTGCACTGGCTGGAAATTCTGGGAACTGTGGACTCCACACATCCAAGGGCTCTGATCGTACGAAGGTGCATTAGAAACCTTCTAATTTATTTAGTTACAATTCTATCCAAATCCTTGGTTTTTTTATAGGTGAAGATGTCCTTTTGCCACAACTTCCCTGAAGTTAAAATGTAAGCAATCATTTTGGTCCTGCAAAATAGGTGACGTAAAGCTGTGGCAGAATTTGTGTCAATTTGCATAGGATTGGCCCATTTCTCCAAAACTACATTCAGAACTTTGAACTAAGACTTGGTTCCATTGAATTTATTCTACTTTATGTTATTCTAATATGATTCGGAAACTCTCAAACCTGGAAGGAATTGATGGAATTGACGGCTTGCAAATAAGCTCTGGTCCATTTGTTGTTTGTCTTTGGACACACCTAAATGCAACTGAAATGATTTGCGGTTTTGTTGAAACAAAAGCCAGAGAGCTTGGTAGTGCAGTCTTCCTCCTCATCTTCATCGGCTAATTTTATCACTTTTGGAGCAACATATGGCAGGAATATCTGCAACAAAGCCCTGATTTTCAAGAAGAAAAACATAATGGTTTACAATCCACTTACTTATCAAACTGAACTGAAATGGATCAACCAGTGCAAGGCATAATAATAACAATAATAATAATCCTATCATGAAAAAGAAGGAAAATTATATTCTTGAATAGTTTTCATAATTTAATAAACGGAACAAGTATGCTTGACTAGCAAAGGAAGATCTGATTTTCATTCTGTCTTGCATCAAAATTATCTTGTCTCTTGCTCCAGATCAGAGCGGGCATATGCCTGGGGAAGTTAAGATTCTTGGCGGTCCTAAACTATGTGGAATCGCCCCATAAGCAATCTATCCCCTGCGTATCGTTTTCTGCAGACAACAGAGGAAAGTATATTAATAATTGTTCAGTAACTTTGCCAACTAGAATTTGGATATAAGTGAGTAAGAAGGCTGGCAGGGAAAAACTTGAATACATCCAGCAAGTTCTTGAGAAGTTTCAGTTATCCAACAGGGAAAGCAGCTAGCCATTGGGCTAGATCAGGGGTCTCCAACCTTGGCAGATTTAAGATTTGTGTTCCAGAATTCCTCAGTCAGAAGACCCCTGGGTTAGATCCCAACAGGCTAGCAACTTCTGAAGGCTTTTTTACAAGAGTGAACAATCGCATATATACTCTGTCTATCAGCTTCCTGCAAGAGACATATGATAGACTTACTCTAGCACCTAGGTTCTAGATGGCACATTTGTTTGGGCAGGGTTCTTATGCTCTAAGCAAGTGCTATTAGAATAAGGACACCTATGTAAAGGACCATGAAACAATAATGTTGTTCTGAAGTTTCTACAAAAAGGTTCAAAAGGCACCTGGCAGATAGAAAAGATTGAACTGAAGGAGGAAATTCTACAGTTAGGTTTGCAGGATAACGAATTTTGTTTGAGTTGATTTTTATTTCATGGACACATCTATGACATTTTGCCATTGTCTAATTCTGGGAGTTTGGGGCTTCTCAGTTTAGCATTCTGGGATTCCTCGGTGGTTACCCATCCAAATGCCAGCTGGGCCCAACCCTACTTAGTTTCCAGTGCCATGAGGTTGTTGAGATGTATTTTTCCAATTGTTTTTCCCTCCAAAAATACTTGGAATGAACATCGATGTGATACAGCCACATTGCTAGTTGAATGCAAAGAGAGAAGAATATGAATTCTTTGGAAGCAGATCCTGGTTTAATAGACATGATAGCTGGGTTCATCCCTTGCACTACACCCAAATGGAATTTAAATGCATGGGTTGCATAAATCAGGGGTTGCGATTTTTAAATACTAGTTTTATGACTTAGCAGGGTTTGTGAATCTCCCCGGTTTGATTTATTTATCCTACTGTGATTAAAATATGGCTTAGCACGATGTACGAAATTAATCAGAACATTGTGAACAGCAATAAACTTAATGCAGAGAAGAAGGAAAATGACCTGGATAGAAAGATGCAGGATAATATTATGGCCAGGGAAACAGTGGGGGGGGATGACATATTTTAAGTCCACAACAAATAGATAAATATTTGGAAGCGATTCAGGCAGAGACTTCCCTAATTCACAAGGGTATAAGAAAGGGGAGGAGGTACAACACAGTCAGATCCCCAGGATTTTATTATTGTAGCCAATTGCAATAAAATAGTTCTAGCCTTCCTGTGGAGTTGATTTCTTGGCCTGGTCTGCCTAGTGTGGCTGTCATTTAGTGTGTGTGTGTGTGTGTGGCGGGGTCACATTTAATGCTAAAAACTGATCGTTCTGGGGCAAAAGTCTGTCTTGCGCTCATTTCTTTGACCTGTAGAACGGCGTGGTAAAACCCAGCTCCCCATAGCACCTTAATTTGGAAACAGATAAGTAGTACAGGTAATCCTTGACTTACAACAGTTCACTTAGTGACCATTCAAAGTTACAACATCCCTGTAAAAAGTGACTTATGACCATTTTTCACACTTAAGACCGTTGCAGCATCCCCTTGGTCACGTGATCAAAATTCAGACGCTTGGCAACTGGTTCACATTTAATGACGGGTACAGTGTGCTGGGGTCACGTGATCCCCTTTTATGACCTTCTGACGAGCAAAGTCAATGGGGAAGGCAGATTCACTTAACAACTGTGGCCAAGAAAGGTCGTAAAAGAGAGCAGAACTCACTTAACAAACGTCTCGCTTAGCCACAGAAATCTCGGGCTCAACTCTGATTGTAAATCGAGGACTACCTGTCCTAATAGAATCTGTGCATGATTCTGATTTCCCTCTGAGCAAAGCCAAGATGAAAAGGGAGTTGGGGGGGGGGAATTGCTTTGGCTGGGTCCCTTTTCTAATTTATGGATCGAAAGATTCTTTCCCTTCAGCCTCAGCCGAGCTTCCAACCGCATTTGCAGCTCGGGACATGATGAAACCGTAATCCGTGCACAGCTGTTTTATTATGTGAAGGCTGGCCCTGGCCCAAGACTTCTGAGAAATGGCAAAGTTAATTTGCCAAAAGGAGAGAAATGGCAACCACATGCCCTCAGTCTCTTGCCAGATCACTTGGGCCCCTCGCCACGGTGCAAATGCGCTCCTAATCCTTTCACGGTGATCCGAATTTCAAATGAATCTTTCTTGGCAACAGATCCTCTTGAATAAATAACTCCATATCTTGCGGTGTCCTCATTGGGAAGAATTCAGAAAGGGTTTTTTCTAGCCCCCCTCTTCCCCCCCAAATGAACAGCTGTTGCCTTGGCTGGCTGGGAAACTCAAAGCAATGCCGTAGATCAGGGGTCTCCAACCTTAGCAACGTTGTGGACTTCAACTCCCAGAATTCCCCAGCCAGGGAATTGTGGGAGTTGAAGTACAGAACTCTTCAAGTTGCCACGCTGGCTGGGGAATTCTGGGAGATGAAGTCCACTCTTCACCTGCATATTCTAAATTCATCCCACAACAGGACCACAAGAGAGAGAGAGAAATGGCTGCATTCAAGTTGGCTTTCGTTCAACCTGAGTGCTTCATTATGTATTGGCCTTTCAGAGACAAATAAGATTTTTCTCGTCAACAGAATTCCGCTCCAGATATCAAAGGAAAAAAAAATACCAATCAGTCTGCCATTGTATTTCTGCTCCATTCCACTTTTCCATATCTGGGACAAATTTAGATGTGACTTCTTTCCATCATCTAAAATCAGTTTGGGAACCTAGAAATACAGGAACCCCAGAAGGATACTGTTATAAAATATTTGGGTGTAAAGTGGAATTCAATATTGCAGGAGCTGAATTGTAGAAACTCCAGAAACTGGTTTTGTTCAAATGGAATCATTTCCAAGTCTTAATTTTGTACCATTCAGCGTAAGTTCCTAAACGTGTCCATATAGATTTCTTAATCTGTTTTACTACGAAGGCTTTTTTGTGAGTACAGTAAACATGCGGATTAGGCATGAATTAAAATGCTAAAAAGAGGAGACAATCCAATCCAACATAAACACCACTAGCAACAGCCATTGTAGGGTGCTTAACTCTCATGAAATCAGCAGTGGCTAAAACCACTTCATCTTGACTGCATTGATCTTAATCTAATGAGGAAAAAGTCTCACATGACCCCCAAGCTTGAATGCTGGCGTTAATTTTAGTCCTGAGAAACTTTCTCCCAAAGACATGATGACTGTGGTCTCCAGCTGAGAAAGGGGGCATTTGATCAATGTCTAGGGAGATTCTCACTCATCCAGGACACGGTTGTCCCGAAGGTGCTTTTTCAAGAGACAACTGGACTTTTTTTGTTTTTCCTTGAAGACAAAACTGAAGAAGCTTCTTGGATGAGAAGCGGATATTTTCAGAGAAAAACGAAGCAAGTCCAGTTGCCTCTTGAAAAAGCATCTTTGGACACTTGGTAATTGTGTAATTTGGGTGCAGTCGCTGCCATCTCTTCTACATTTTTGAACCGCCTTCTCCAGCCCTCTTTCTTCTAGATAGGTTGAATTACATTGTCGTTACCTAAATTTGCTTTCCGTTAAGTGTCAGATTCTGGAGTAGGTCATATAATATAATCCAGGAGATTGCAACGCAAAGGAGTGAAAAAAGGAATAACCACTCTAGAAATGCCCCTCCCCCCCATTATGTCAGTGCTGCAATACACAGATTACAAACACAAAAACAGTTAAAAACACAGAATAACCAGGGGAACCTGGACTAAAACAATCCTAACAATAACAAACAAAATATTGCATACATATATAGATATGCTATGTTTCACCAGTAATAAATACTTCTAAGATAGAAGAACATGTAACTTAAACCGATTTAAGTCCTGGACCAATTTATCTGTAAATTAAACTACTGGATTTTGTCAAAATTAACTTCTGCCTAGACATGGATAGATTTACACTGTGATATTAAAACGATGGTTGAGATTTCTTTAATGCGCTGATAATTTAAAGAGCAAGCATTGGAAGAAATCAGCTCTTGCTGGTTCATCTCTTAGGACTGTGTTCGAAGGTGATTGCAGTTGTACAACGGTATTTAGTGTCAGTATGATGGACTTTGGAGTCAGCACTCACAATAAATTGAGGGAAAAACAGACTGTCTCTTCCTTCATTGCACAAGTGGAATTGGGGAGTTTTCGGGTGAGCATCTAGTCCAGGGGTCTCCAACCTTGGCAACTTTAAGACTTGTGGACTTCAACTCGCAGAATTCCTCAGCCAGCTTTGTGGAGTTGAAGTCCACAGGCCTTAAAGTTGCCAAGGTTGGAGACCCCTGATCTAGTCAGTCTGAGCAGCCACACCAGGAGAGCTGCAGCCTCCAATGGCTAAGGGCTGTTACCTGCTTGCCACTGCTGCCATGAAACAATCCCCGTATGCTTTGAAGATCAAATGGGCATCTCTTTTTGTCAAAAATGCTCATTTGTGTACTTCTTTTGTCAAAATGCTCATACGTGCTGATTGCTGTGGTTCTCATGGGGCCACCATTTTTGATGTTTTGCAGAATCAGAGTTGTATGAACTGACGGATCTCCTTCAGTTCAGCCCCACGCCCCTGTTTCTGAATGATGACAGAACAGGATTTAGCGGATGTAGTTCAAATAGCTGTGGAGGACTTGAACCCAGATCATCCAGGTATGTTATTGCAGAGATATAAAGGTAAGGGAGGCACAAATAAACCAGCCACCCAATTTGCATGTTTCGTGGTATAGAGATAGAATAGAACAGAACAGAACAGAACAGAACAGAACAGAATAGAATAGAATAGATGGAAGGGACCATGGAGGTCTTCCAGTCCAACCCCCTGCCTACGCAGGAAACCCTATACCAGTTCAATTTCAGTGGTATGTGTTGCATAGAAAATTAAAGAGGTAATGTAACGGAAGTTCTTTTTTCGTGACGCTGAGTAAAACAGCGGTGTAGCAACCTCACACTTAACTTTCTTCACTGCCTCCAATTTTCCAGCTGTCCTGGAAATCTGGTATTTTACTTCTAACTTTGTTTTAAGACAGAAAACGAGGCAATGGAATCTATAGTACTGGTCTTCACTGGGAATAGATGGGAACATTAGGACGAGTTAATGTAAACAAAGAGGACTGCCACATCGGATCAAATCTATTTAAGGAAGCGTTCTCCAATTTAGATTTGCCCAGATGTCTTGAACTAATTCTCATAATCCCGGCTCTTCTTTATCTGGTGGGTGGGCTATCGAGGAAATTAAAATACCCAACATCTGGCTGCTGATCCACTGCTGAAATCCTCTACATCAGTGTTTTTCAACCTTGGCAACTTTAAGACACGTGGACTTCAATTCCCAGAATTCCCCAGCCAGCAGGGCTGGCTGGGGAATTCTGGGAGTTGGAAGTCCACATAAGTTGCCTACAGTTGCGAAACACTGCTGTAAATAATAGGTAAACCTAGCTGTGAAATTTTGGGAGAAGAATTTACCAGCACGGACAGCTTCTAGAACACTTCTGCCCATCCAGTTTGTTGCTTTTCCTTTGCATTTCACAACCAAGGGCCTTTGATGGAACTATTGAAAACGGTTTGCTTGTTTCTGTTTTTGGGCTTGCAGTTGTCTTGGAAAACCATGAAGTGACTGATGAAGATGTAGACCCTCCTACGAAACGGCAGCGGATAGAAATCAATTGTCAGGACCCGTCAATTAAGGTTGTAGCCACGTACACGCTCGTTCGCACAATGCAGCTAATAATGGGTAGATAATAGCTATGTTTTTTGACGGTTTAAGGTGATTTAAACCATCATGCCCACCGAGTGTCCTTGGGGATATTTGGAGGGGCACGTTTGGTGTTGGCCAAAGGTCCTGAAGGTTTGAGATAGACTTTATCATGGAAAGATCTGAGGCCTCTTCTCTTGTACAGCTAGTCCTTGACTTATGACCATTTTGAAGTGACGATGGACCTCATGACCTCAGTGTTTACTTAATGACTGCAGGTTCGCTTAACAATGGGTATTTTGCTTAATGACCACCACAAGAAAAGTCATAAATTGTGTCTATCATCTGACAACCTGCTTAGCAACTGGCATGACTCACTATCTCATAATTCCTGTAAGTCAAGAGCTACCTGTACTTTTGACACATATTATCACTTCAGCACAAATCCATTTCCAAGTTACCGGTGTATATCAGATGCATGTATACACGGGGAGGGGGGAGTCATGTTAGCATAATTACAGAATATTCCCAACTGCATAGTGGAAAATATTTTTTTTCCATGAATCAGAGAAGATTCAAAGTTAATAATTGTATTTTCCCTTACTCTCTGTGAGAATTACTAAGATCTTCCCTATGAACTAGAAATAAATTTTGATTGTATCAAACAACAAAGCTTATGGCTGTGTTGACAGCTTCTTAATTAAAAAAAACAGGATAAATAAAATAGTAAGAGAGCAATATGCTTAACGCAAATCTTCAATATTCTGCAAAATTTCCACTAAGAAGATTAGAAAAAGTTTCGGTTTAAGTTTAGAGATTGCTGACTTATAATGAAAAATAGCCTAAAAATACAATTAGACGTTTTCTAGAGTTGTGTGTTTCACCTTCAGAGTTTGTAGGTCATTTGAACTCAATTTCTTTTATTATTTTAATCATATCCACCAGAGGGTGCACAAGAAGTATTTTAAAAGAAACCCTGTCCCATCCAGTTACAAATCAAAGCAAAATCTGTATTTTGTCGTAAATAATTATCTCATGTTTTTGAGTGGAATACTTATTTTAAAAAGGCCTGCAATTATCTAGGTACACTTTAGAACTTAAAGCATATTTACCATCCCTCCTTTTCAGCTCTGTTTCCAGAAATACCCAAGGCGCAAAATCCTTGAGCAGGTAATAATCATTTGAACTGAAGATAGGTCCAGGGTGACAGCTGAAATAAATCCTTGGTGCCCTTTGCAGAAGCCTATGTAAACGCAAGCATAAAACGCAGCCTCCCTTTGCCACCTCACTCAGCTCCCTCTGCTCCTTCTCTTCCCCAGTCCTTCCTGTATTCCATCAACCAAACGATATGCCTGCGGCTGGATAGCATCGAAGCCAAGCTGCTGGCCCTGGATGCAACCTGCAAGTCCCTGGAAGAGAAACTGGACCTCGTCATGAACAAGCAACATAGCCCCATCCAGGTGCCCATGGTGGCAGGATCCCCGCTTGGGGCCACCCAGACATGCAACAAAGTGAGATGGTAAGTCTCCATGTGTCACTGCGTATGCCTGCTATTTCCTGATCAGTTGTCTGTCCCAATCAAGCAGGACAGACGTGGGCTAACTGTCAGGAACAAAGCTGGCATGCAGCTTTGAATGAGAAACGTATTTTTTTTTCTTGAAGGCAGAAAAAATGGTGCTCTTGGCTCTGTGACCAACATCTCTTTACCTTGGGATGGTGGACTTGGAGGTCTTGCCACATTTTTGCTTGGCTTGGCTTGTTTCTACAGGACTTTATAGATAAGCTGGTGTACTGTATTTCCCCGAAAATAAGACCCTGTCTTATATTTTTTTGAACCCTGAAATAAGCCTTATTGCCTTCCGCTCAAAAGCCCGATTGGGCTTATTATCAGGGGATGTCTTATTTTGGGGGAAAGAGGGTAGCAGCCTTGCCTGCTTAGATTTAGGGCATCCCCCCCCTCCCCCCCGGATTTTGTTTTGACTTTGGGAATAAAAAAATCCAACCTTCTTAGAGTTTAAGCATGTTTTTAACCCCTCTGATTTTGGAAATAAACTCATAATTAACCATGATTATTCATGCTACCATGGTGTTGCATGGTTGAGATATTAGTAATGTGTAACCCACCATTGGAAGATTGTTAGAACCGTTTCACATAGAATGAGTGTTCTGTAAATGTTGGTAAAGGCTCCCTTGGGACAAACTCAACCTCCATGATTATAGGACAGTGTTTCTCAACCTTGGCCACTCCAAGAGGCTGGCTGAGGAATTCTGGGAGTTGAAGTCCACACAACTTCAGCGCCAAGGTTGAGAAACACTTTCATAGGGATACCTTCAGCTTGTTTTCTTGGCAACAGGGCAGGAGTGGTTTCCCATTTCAGAAATGTCAGCACTGCACCTCTTTTATGAAGAGTTGCTTATGGGCAACAACAACAACAGTACAGAGAAATTGAATACATTCACATTCAAACCTTCTCTTTTGGAAATCCCCACTGATTTTCACATTTTAAAAAAATTTTGAAATTGGAATAATGACAGTTTCCTATACAGAGGGATTTGTTTCCCTTAGAGCAAAAGATTTGGAATTTCAGTTTCCTTATTGTAGATAACCTTTAAGACAGGTTCACTTAGAGTGCTAAATCTTGGTTTGTTTTCACCATGGATTTGTTGAAAAAATACGAAACTAAAGCCAAACAGCCAAACCCAGCTAAAATATACACATCCTTCTCTTTAATTTCATAGAAAGCAGATGGCAGGATATGCTAACATGAGGATACACTTATTAAAAGTAGTTATTTTTATGCCAACGTTTCCTATTGGGGGGGGGCTGGTGTTTAAATCTTTACCTTGCTTTTGTCTTTGGTGGGTTGCTGAAAACGTATTTTGATATATAGACCTTTATTGGAAATGGGACAAAGTATGTCCAGTGAGTGTTATCACAGATTTTAGTAATTAGAGTTGATTGCATTTTTGATGGATGTAGTCTGTACCTCAAGGCTGAATTTTGCCTAATGAAGTGTTGATGAGTATTCTGAAGCTGTTTATGTCTCACCAAGGGAAATATTTTTGTGAAAAATGCTTTTCCCCCAGGTGCACAGAACAGTTTTGTGAGATGAGCTATATATTATAAATAATGATGTGTAGACTTGCTCTGGTTTTGTGTTGCCATTAACAGCTGTGTTATTTCATGGGTTCATCATTTATCATGAGTGTAATAACAAGAGTTTATTAAAATGAAAGTTTCCAAAGGAGAAAATAGAAATACATGCTCTTTAAAACCAAAACAATGCTAAGATGGGGGGAAGAAGAAAAAAATTATGGTACTTGCTTTATTTTTAAGAGCCTTTCCTTAGATTTATATTCAGTCCTAAGTTGCTTTGCCCTGTGGTAAATAAACTGATTAGGGATTTTATCTTCCAAGATGTTATTCTTTTTAGATAGCAACTCAAATTTGCTGTAGAGAAATAGACAAAAGTCACATCTCAAAAGCATCATCCAATTTTTTTGCCAGTCTGTAGTGCCTGACTGCAAAACGCATTTTTTTTTTAATTTTTGTTATTATTTCTTGATCATCACCATTCAGAAAATGAGAGAAATAGCTGGAAGTGGCTGGACTGCTGAAAAATTCCTGGGTATTTGTTTTTGTCAGTATATATGACATACTTTCCTCCACGGGATGTGCCAGAAAGACACAAGGCTGTTCTGTGAAAGCCGCTTCCAACCCTTTTCTCAAAATGTCTGAATTTCCCATCTCATAGGACATAAAGACACTGGTGCTTTAAAAGTTTTGAAATGGTAACTATAAATTGGGTTTGGAGAGCCTTGATACAGAAATGTCTGTCTTTAATTCATCTGGCTTAGTTCATTTGCACAGGGCATGAGGGTGGCCCAATCCTTCAGCATCCTACTCACTGAAGAAGTGAGTAAGCAGAGTGTAAGGCAATGCCAAACTTGGCAACTTTAAGATTTGTGGACTTCAACCTCTGGAATTCCCCAGCCGGCAGGGGATTCCCCAGCTGAGGAATTCTGGGAGTTGAAGTCCACACGTCTTGAAGTTGCCAAGTTTGGAGACCATTGGTATAAGGTCACAAGTGTGCAGCTGGAAGGAACTTATCTCTAAGAAAACAAAATGCAGAAAGTGTGAGGTTTAAGTAAAAAGCGGAGACTATTAAAAATAAACATGTGCATGTACGCTCCCATGTATACTCTCTCTTTCACACGAGTCAGGTTTGCATCCTTTGAGTCCAAAGGCACAAATGTGATCTTTATTTGTATTGCTAAACGGATACAATGAGATGAAAACAAATAAGAATAACCTTGTTACTTTGCAGCAAAATCAGCATCTTAAAGACAAACACATTTTTGGCAGCCTTTACAAGGGTTAATGCTGCTCTCAAACAATACATATATGCTCAGGGTTTTTTTTTTTTAAAGTATGCATTAAATTTTCAGCTCTGCCTAGTTTATTTCAGCTTTGTTCCTCCTCCTTCAGTCTGCCTGTTCTCCCCATAAATTTTTCTGGCCCTGGTTGTCTTTAATTTCTTAGGAGTCTGGCTCTAAAATTATCTTAGTCTTCAAGAAAATATGCTGAAAGTTTCTTCCAGCATGGAAACTGGCAAGAATGTGGCCTTTTCACTTCAGCATGACATCAGATGTAGCCATCACAGTGGGTTAGAAAATGCATTGTGGCATCCAGACTAATGATCTGGGAATTCTGGTCCAGCTTTTTGGGCCACGGTGCAAGAATGGTGAAGTCAGGCTTCTCTGCCTGACAGATTTGTATTTCCTAAGCAGTCTTTCACCAAAGTGGCCCACCAACGCAGTCCCTAGGCAGATGCTCCTTGGATGCGTCACTCCTGACCCTGGGTCATCTCTTCCAACTGATTTTTCTGGGTATTGCAGTTTTCTGATAATCTGTAAATAGATGTCAAACAAGAAAAAAATGTTGCTTCCTTGGATTAACTTTTACATCTTTCATATTAGGAAGAGGACTAATGGTTGGGATCTTCACTATTTTGGCAAAAAGCAGAAGTTCAGATTTCTGTGCTAAAGTTGACACTCAACCTGATCTGTAATATCTCCTCTGTCCTTTATAAACTAGAGGGTACGAAGGCAGGAATATATTAGGAAGATGAAGGCTCATTTACTTTCCTACCAGCTGGAGTTCGCCTAATAAAAGATTCATTGTTCAAAGAGGGATTCTTCCCTAGTAGGGAAGTTTACTATCCTGAATCTTCAGAACCCTCCTTTCCTACCACAGTTGAAGTCCGCATGCCTTAACATTGCTAAATTTGGAGAACCCTGATCTGGATGAGATTAGCGCTCCAGAATTTCTGTTAACAAGACCAGCAGAGCTGTCAGGGAGTCTTAAGTTTCATTAGTTGATCTACAAGAGTATTTTAGCCTGGTGGAACATAGATTGATGGGATGTGCGCTTGCCTGCCGATTCCTAGGTATTGAAATCCACTTCCCGCAATACCAATTTCTGAAGCTTGATTTTGCATCGGGTTCTTATGCCACAGGGAAGCATTCTCTATTTTGAAATGTGACATGGAGTCTAAGAATATCTCTGTGTGCCCATCAGAAGTGCAGTCTTGACTGTTTGACTAAGAGAATTGTTTGGCAGTTGCACATCCTTTCCTGCTCAGATTTTATCTGCCCATAAGGCAAACTTGCTCCATCAAGACGTTAATAACTTATGTGTGTTCAACTGAGTGTCCCTGAGAGTCACTTACAGACTTTATCTACTCAATGCTTACTTAGGCAGTCACCCATCAAAGATGCTGCAGTGGCAACCTGCTCTTTGCAGCATGGCCCCCGTGAGTTTTCTAGGTGTAGCTGGGTGATATGAAGCGTAACTTGTTCTGAGGATTTGTAGATTGGGTGTGTTGGGTTTTGATTAAGGGGAGCTATTCTGCAGATGGTCCCCAGTATGCCAGCTGGAATGCTTTTGGGTTTCAGAAGCAAGAAACAAGGCAATGTTTTCATAGATAGAATGGATTCCATTCCATTCGAGTCATTCAGAATCCACTTTCCATGAGTCAAAAAGATTGTGATACCATAACCTTAAACATATACCTTTCTCTTTCTCTCTCTCTCCTCCTCTCTCTCTCTCTCGTTCATTCATTTATTCAATCCTTTCTCATTGTCAGTTCTGTGTAATGCACACTAGCAGACCTAGTCATTCAATTATCCATTTTGAAGTTTAAAACGTTCTTATGAGCATCCCAAAGGTGCTTTTTCAAAAGGCAACTGGATTTCGTTTTTCCTTGAGACATTTCACTTCTCATCCAAGAAGCTTCTTCAGTTCTGACTGAAGAAGCTTCTTGGATGAGAAATGAAACGTCTTCAAGGGAAAGCAAAGTCCAGTTGCCCTTTGAAAAAGCTCCTTTGGGACAACCACGACCTGGATGAGTGAGAATCTCCATAGACATTCTTATGAGCAAAGCCATTTTTCTCATTTGGGGCATCTTCCACTGAAGATTAAGCTCCTTGTCTCCTTGCCCTCAGCCATTCTGGTTA